ACTACAGGACATATGAAGGAATATAATGGTATAGAAGAAATTAGGTCAGTTTCTATCACAAAATAATAGTAATTTGAATGAAAATTAACAAATTACAATAGAATGCGTGCGGTGCAGATCAGTACTTGAAAAACTTTACTGTCTGACAGTCCATAGATACTTCGTATTGTATATAAATATGAATCAGATCACTTACGTAATATGATTTTGCAATAGAAAATGTCGTAAGCACGCAACCAGTATCACACGTTACACTGAGCTGTTTCGGAATAAAATATATTTTTTATACTTCATTTAAATTCTCTTAGAAATAATCTACAGAAAATTGTAAGCCTGTATAATTAAAACATCAAATTGGATTAATACAAACATTTAAAAAAATAACCGTCGGAGCAATATTCAAAATCTCGAAGACAGTTGTTGAAATAGAGACCATTCATTATAAGTATGTTGCCATTTTGAGGAAAAATAAAACCAGAATTTAAATAAATAGACGTTAACATTTTCATATCTTGTGAATATTGAACAAAAAAACCAAATTAGATTTTAATTGAGACGGTGCTATTAAGATGATTTTGTCAACAAAGGAGTTATCAGATGGCCGTGACCCGATTACGCCTCATAATGCGACTATTGCCTATACAATAATAAATTAAAAACAAAACCTAACTTCCACGGTATTATAAATTAACAATACGCTATTAACAATAATTACTAGAAATATTAGTGTTTAATCTTCTATGGAAATTAGCATTAAGAGTCATAAAATTGAAATCCATTTAATGCAGTCGTTAAATCATACCGTGGCGATGTGAACGGCACAGATTATAAAAGATGATTGACGGATAAATTGTTTTATATTTTCTCTGTTATCGGTCGACGCGAACATAAAATATATGACTGGTGTATGATAACATTTTACACTTACAGTCAAGTTCAATAGATTTAAATATCTATATTATTCTCACAATGTTTACATTTGATCCTATTCATCAAATTCTATAATTACATATGTCATAACTGATTTTAGATTTGTTTATAATAGACATTTGGTATTGTTCAATTTTTTTATGATTCGGTTGGCTGCCTGATATTAAACTTTTTAAATTTATTTTTAGAATGTTGGCACTAAATTTTTTTTATGCTAAAGGGGGCAAAGGAACAGACGGCCTATCTAATTGAGGTAAATGCCAATGGTATTTGTTGATATTTGTAACTTTGCCACGAAACAAAATTGATATCATTAATGACATGAAAGTATTTGTCTCCACTTTTTCCTAAAATTATGATAAACATAATACCTAATACATTTTCTTTCAATGGTAAGAAATTTGGTATATAATATAAGTATAAAGAACTTTTTGCCATAACTTATATTTACAAACACAGATATCATGGCAGAATAAGTCTCGTTTGATGAGTAATAACAACAAATACAGGAATAAATGACATCATTGAACACATAAGTAACATTTTTTTAAGTTAAAAGTATGCCAGAATTACTTGAACCCAAATATAGTGCAGAATTATCACAAGTCACAAAGAACAGAAAAGTTTTCCGTTAAAAGTGATTGTACTAACCTACTTTACTATTATGATTTTATATCTATACTATTTTTAATATGACTTAAATATAAAAAGAGACAAATTTCAGTATTTTGTTTTTTTAATTTAAAAATAGATAAATTCCATACATAATATCATATCAGTTGCTATTTAATATTTTTTAAACTATTTTAAGTACTTAACGCGCTGAGTGGCTTACGATAGCATTCAAAACTTTCATATACATATATTTTCTTTTGTTTGCTTAATACACAATAAATAAATGTTGTATTGGAAATGTGTATATATATTGATTATAATTTTTAAAGGCATGGATTTTCAAAAATACTTTGTTTACGTCTTATAAAATTACAAAGTATCTAAGAAACATATAATATCTTATAATATTCATATATAAAAAATATTTATGGTATCCCATTATGATATTGATATGAACCACATAAAATTTAAATGCTTAATTTTAAGTATTTAACAAACATTGAATAAAATATTATTAAGGCATCCAAAAGCAATAAATTCCCTGGATAGTTAATTCATTTAATTTATATAAAACCTTTTTTAACCTAAACTACAGTGAAAAAAATTATGAAACAAAAATATTGTATTATATTTTAAAAAATATTTAAGAAACTCTTTTATAAAATATAAGCTGCTGATAAATATGATAAAAACGTATACTTACAAATTTTATCAGTAAATTTATTTCAAATGGAAGTTATTACAGTCATGGAATATTTTGTGAATTTCTTAAGATAGGAATATAAATATAAAGGAGTGTGGAAATATATATATATAGAATTATGTATTTAAAATATTTGTAACCAGGTAATCTGGAATAGCAAGGTATGGTACTAAAATAACATTTATAAAAAAATTAATTCACAGCAATGCTTTCACTTACCTGTATTTCCTAGTTGTCTTTCACAGTGTAATTATTACACGCAATTGCTGGAGATAAAATAACAAATCGGTGTTGAATTCACTTTATTTTATCGCAATATCGTATATTATTTCACAGCTACTGTAAAACTGGAACACTAGAATATAAAACTTCACTCCTACCTAACGTTCAGTTTAAAAACATATGAATGTATAAGTTTTATTTAAGATTTTAACTATACGTAGTATGACACAAATAAGTTAAGGATCGCATATCAAAACATCGAATTGCCAAATTCTGACAGCGAGCTAACCTCGTTAATATTTTCAAAAGAGAAAGTCGACTCTAAATTCTATTTGAAATATTTAAAACAATAAAAAACCACTTTAATTATATATAATACTCTTCAAAGTTTAAAAGTCGAATGCTTTGATAATATTTAACTTTTGTCAAAAAATAAGATTCTTCGGACAGATAACAAAATCGCTGAATTCAATGTCATTCACATTGCACAGATCATATTTATTGGGCCACAATAAATTTTTTTTCGTTTCAAAAATACACAATTATTAAAAAGAGTATATAGAATTTTGTGATAATTAAACCAGTCGTTATCGATTAACGCACGTAGCACACAGTAGCGGTAATACAGCTACACTGCCAACTGTAAACTGACATGATGTGGTGATTTTTCCTATTACATATATCATATTGTGTATGATTTTGATGACCATGAAGTTACGCATATGATACTAAATATGTTTATATAATTAATGGGCACACATTTTGAGGTTTATCAAAAATATTATCGTAAGCGGCATCTGTGACTCATATTTCTTCTTATGTCCATTAATAGATATTTCTTTTAATAAAACGCTTATTTAAATACTAAAAAACTTAGGTACCGAGGGTTCATTATAAATGATAATAATTGATATTCAATAAGTTTTAAATTCTATAGGAAGTTTAATTCTAATTTTATGAATTTTGATTGTTATGTTTACAAGGGAAATTGTAACTGTAAAATGTACATATAATAGATTTTATCTTCCGTATTCATATGAATCAGTAAACTGTATTCGCGCTTATTAGCCGTTACGAACATGACAATGAATCTATTTTAATATGCTTTATAAGCACATCTAAGTAATAATGTTTGTAATAGAATTCATGTATTATTAATAATTTTTAACGCGTATATATAGCGATTTACAAAAGTATAATTGCGAAATAGATTTTAATTTAGTATGGTTAAAATTGATTTATTTTCGCCTACACAGTGCACTATAACCGCGTCATAAATTATACATATTAATAGGTACATTACAGACCAATGTAATTATTTTCAAAGATGTATATTTCATTAAAGCCGTTTATTAATAAAGGGGAAGGGATGGTGATACATATTTATAAAATTCATGAATATCAAAAAAAATTATTCCTTTAAATTTTATAACATATATTTTATATTTATATTGCCTTACTTGAGCTTAATCTGCTTTACTACGACTTAATAACTCATAAAATAAAGAAGGGATATTTTTTTGTATTAGTATTAACAAACTGTGATTGTCAAGCAAAGTGTTTTTGATATATTAAAACTATTTATATAAATTCTGAAAATTTAATAAAAACAAAAAACGATTATTTCCTTTATTTATAATAAAATTAGTATTACAGTAGAGGTAAACCTTTTAGCAGTGGCGGCAGTTCCTTAAGTGCACTCGTGCGCTGAACCACCAATTCAAAAGATTTAAAAATTACAAAATATTATTCATCTTTATTTTTAAATTACCATTTTAATATTTATTTTTTAAACGTATAAAAACGTATAAAAAATTAAATTTTCTAATTATGGTCAAAAAGTTTGAACGCTTTACTAAACTAATATCTCGTGCGCTTCGGCGAGTGCACGAGGACTGCTAATACATCTTATATGAGATACGCATTAATACGCCTGACGCGTGAAACAAAAGATAGTTCATAGAAATGTACCGAGTAATGAGTCGGTTCTCGAGCGCCGCACGAGCGACCGAAGATTACCGAGAGCACCCGATGTATGACGAATTGAGCCGTGATTGACATCTCGTTATATTGTTTTCTTGCATTTTCTATTTTTTTTATTTTTTAGTAAAGTGCACCACCAGTTCGATTACCCACCGGCCGCCACTGCCTTTTAGGTTCATCAAATGATAAGAGTTTTCAAGTTTCTTGCTGTTATGAAGTTTGGAGGTCAATACATTCCTGTAACTATAAAACAATAATTCTTTGATTCACTTATCTTGACCTAAAAAGTTGATTTAAAGGGGCCTAACCCACCGAGGCATTTACATTTAATAGAAAACATTAAAGCTTTGAATTTTTAAAGAATATAATTTATCGTATTCTTTACATTATTTATCCCAAGTCTCACTTTGTTTTTTTGTTTTTGTTTTTTTGTATTAAAGTAAAACAATCATAAATCATGACACTATAGCTAAATATTGTCTATATTCGTGATTTTCTTTAAAAATATATTTAATTTTATATCACAACACCAACAGGCCATTCCTTTTTAACGGCATAACTCCATGGGAGTAACTTTTAATCGTTCAGCCAGAACGGAGCTAGATTTAATTTGCTGCTCGACGTAAGACACCGTGCCGCTTGCATCAGTAAGTTTTGCTGCTTCCTTCTCTTTGTCACCTGGTGCTAATACTGGCAGCTTTTCATCCGCCTAAAAACGAATATCACGAAAACACTATATTTATGCAATTCTTGGAACCAAACAGCGTTAGATACGAATAATTCCAAAGGTTATTTCGATTAAAAATATAACATAAAGGAAGGGAAGGATTTTGAAAGGATTTTATAACATGCCTTCCTTTATCATCATTACTTGTTGGAATCTATAAGTATGGATTCAATACTTAAATTGAGAGAAACTAACATCAATCACATTAATATTTTCATCTGCATTTCTATTATATCTTTACTACCTACGAAATTATATGACAGCACTTCTAAAATATGCAAAAAAAAACTTTCAAACAGATCTTGACTGATTATTTGTTATGAATGTTTACTTATAAACTATTTTTAATAATGTGAGCGAAATAGTTGACATTCTCATAAGCATCTTTCCAACCTTGATTGAAATGATTTCATATAATTACCGGTTCCAAATTCCTCCAATGCGTCATACAATCCCCAAGTCTGTCTTTGAAGCCAGGCGCGAAGTTCTCGAAGTCGACGGCAATGAAGCAGTGTCCAATATTGGATGATCCGCCCTCACCGCTGTGGGACCACGAGCGGATGTGGTGCCCGTAGTTTGAACCTGGGGCAAGCAGAGTTCAACTTAATTTTTCACCTCCCTATTACACAAAATGTGCAAACACTGGGTTTAATTCTTCCAAAAGGGGTCATGACGTAATTGACGTACTTATATATACGAAATAATAATTTATTTGATGTTCATGTTTGTAAATATATGACCTTATGCATAATCGCTATCTAGTAATGGGAATCTTATCAGTAATTTTGCTGAAACAAAATACACGTCTATCTTATGGGTTGAAAATAATATAAACATCGCACATGCATAAAATTCTTTTATACTTATATGACTCATGTATCTAAGCAGTAGGTAAAAGAATATGTTTAGGTTGTAAACTATATATGCTATTTTCGAACGACTTAAAAAACTTTTAAAAGACAAAGTCACAAAACAAGAATATTATCGATAACTCAAAATAGTGAAACATCAACATTCTTTTAATACGAAGCGGCGTTGTTAAATCATCACTAGATGTAATTATACCTATGGTTGATAATTTTAAACATACCTGACGAGATACCGCAGAATAACTCTACCATGGCGGCCAAACCGTATCCTTTGTATCCTGAGGTTTCTTCCCTACCACCTAGCGGGAACAAACATCCTGTGTTGAAAGCCTAAAAATAAATGTAATAGATAATAATTTTTAGGCAAAAGTCCTAGCATTGGTATATATTTTTCTATTGCATATATTTCATATTTCTCAAACTGCCCATTCAACTCATCATGTTTAAAAATTTCCATTTAGTTTATTTCAGCATTGCGAACATTCAAGTAAGGTTTGGATCGACTTTCACAGTGAGTTTTGTATGTAACGAGTATACACAGCAAAAGATTACATCGTCACACTACATGTGAAGTGTTTAAGAACAACAATTCAAGTACAATTTTCAACTAGTCCGATGTCATTCATATTATACAATGTTAAATTAAATGTTTTTTAAATAACACTAAACATGTTATACTTTTTAAAACACAACTTATTAAATGAAAATATTCTTATGAAGCAAGACTCAATGTAACAAATTTAGTTAACAAACTTGTTACAAGAAACGTTATTTCGTAAAATCTTTACAAATATACTTACAAGTTCAGCGTCGTGTGTTTCTTTACCATCAGGACCCTGAGCCCAACCATTTGGTAACGGCTCACCTTTCCGCCTTTTCATTTCTATCTGAGGAAAAGGATTTTTTTGATTATTATCAAAAACTGTTTAACGTCTGTTAACAATTTTAAAAATTGGTTAAATAAATAAAAATAATTATATACATATATAATCCCTACTAACATTATAAATTCGAAAGTAACTCTGTCCGTCTGTCTGTCTGTTACGCTTTCACGCCTTAACCACTGAACTGATTTTAATGAAATTTGGTACAGAGATAGATTTGACCTTGAGAAAGAACATAGGATAGTTTTTATCACAGACTTTTGAAAGGTTCTCTTGGAAACGCGATATAACCGCACTCCACGCGGGCGAAGATGCGGACGGAAAGCTAGTTCTTTATATTTATTAAATGAACATAGCGCGATTTTTGCCTTTTATAATTGCCGCGTGTCTAAGAAATAATATGAATAAATTTTAATTGAATTCTATAAAAAAGTTTCTGGTAATACGCTCACGAATACAGATAAATAATACTAAATATAAAAAATACAACCTTTCCCACGGCAACAGCTGTGGTGGCCATGTCCAGGTAAAATGTCTCATCATTAGCTGCGGGGGCCACGACAGACAACGGATTAGTACCGAGAGCAGACTGAAACATAACAAAACATTATCATTTTCCAGCAATAATATATAGTATTTCGTTATCAACATTAATTAGATCAGTAAATTATAAAGAATGAAATATGTATGAAAATGCAGCAAAAAATTTCAATGGGCTCATTATATATGCTTTTTTTATCATTACGATTAAAAGAAATAACTGACTGTTAATGGGTACCTTTTTGCTACGTGTTGGTGCTAGAAGCGGTGATGTATTTGTGAACGCCATCCCTATTAAACCTTGATCTGCAGCTTTCTTTGCCCAGAAACCAGCCATACCATTATGATTTGATGCTATTGAAAATAAAATATGTATAACGTTATTAATAAATAAAAACTAATCTTCGAAATCATTAAGCCCATAATTTTGCATCTTTTTTTTTAAACTATAATAAAATATAATTTATATATGCGTTACATCTATTTTTAGGAAGTCTTAAACATTTTTCACTACGTATCGCATGTCGCATTACAGTGTTCCGCGAAGTAAGGATATGGTTGAAATGATTCAATGACTGTAAATAATACTACGCTCAGTTCAAAAAATGAGTCTATAAACTTAATGACTCTATTTATTGAAGTAAGCAGATCACTATTGTGAAAACTTATAGAAAAAAGCAATAGTAGATTATAAATTACAAACAAGAATTTTCGTAATTAATTTACTCACATAAATCGTTATCTACCTTTAACAGTTACCCATCCGACGCCTGTCTGTTTTGCTTTCTCAATAGCGATATCCATTGCAAAATGACTGACTGTGGCCCCCAGAACATTTTGAGCATCAACCCACGCCGTCGACGGGCTCTGCTTTAAGATCTTTGGCTGATTGTTGGGTTGACAACCACCGCTTAAGATATCATTGACGTAATATTCTGAAAAGTAATTAATAGTTTTGAATATAAAACAGATTGTCTATTTAAACGATTATGCCTGAATAGTCGTTAATGAGATCTAAGGTATTTGCGAGTATTCATTTAAATGAAAACAATATTTTTCGAATTATACTCGCGTATTTATTATTGTAAATGCTACATACTCCCGACGTTTCAGTTACTTTTACGTGTAAAGTTTTCGTTGAGTCTTGGATAATATTTAATTATTTAATCATGAGTTATACATTTTTTTTAACAAAACTGCAAAACATTATTATTGGATGATATGTCGAGATGTATCTATATGTAATATATTTATGTTACTTGACTACCGATATTGCAATTACAATAAAATATAAGATATCAAACATGTTTGTAGTAACAATTGAAAGTGATTGAACCTACCTATTAATTTCCATATATAGAATCTTATCTTACGAGGACAAAGGGCTTGTTGTGTTGCTATTCAATATTTAATTATTTCATTATATTTACGGACCTAATCTGTTAAGTCCATGGCTAGGATGTCCAAGTCGATCTGCTTCCAGTAACAATTCTGCTTGTTGATGTGCAGGAAATGCTCGAGCACCGGCAGCTTTTAAGCAATCGGTCATAAAACGAAGCGCCTCTGTTGTAGCGACTTTACCCATTGTGGTACTTGTAATCGAAATGTATTATATTGTAAATTTTCCTTTTTCTAAAAAGTTGTTAATTCCTTGATATTTTGGTAAGACAACGAAATCTATTGAAAATATTTCTTTCAAATTTTAAGAAGACTATCCTTGCCGAGGCGACGTCTTAATGTAGCATTAGAAGAAATGTGAATTTTCTTGTTAGTAGGATCTACTATTTTGTTATAAATAATTAAAATTTTTTATAAATATGTAATTAAACCTTTTTAACTGTTTTGTTTCCTTTAGACAATTTACTTTTGTTTTTATTACAGGAAAAAAAATGTGGCGAGAAATCAGAATTGAAATTTTCTAATGTTAGTGTGTTATTTGTATATAAATTGCCTCGTGTACAGTTCAGGGTCAAACGCTATTTATACCTAAACACTAACATATATATTTTTACCTTAACATATTGATTTTGTGCATAAACTTTATGTAATTACACTCAATATAATGTCTTTTATCAAGTCAGTGCAGTGTCAAGAAAGTTGAACGACCTAAAGTTTTAAACGTCTGAAAATTATACCTGCTATGATGATTAACAAATCAGTTTTCCGCAATTCTCTCAATGTTTAGTAGATTCACATTAACAACAATATAAAATAACACTTTTATGCTTACCAAATGAATTGTGTGAAGTGAAAACAAACAATCTATTACGAGTTAAATACGTCTCCCCTGCGGAGCTGTGCTAAGCCGACTAATGGAAATAGTGGATTGTGGAATGAATGACGTAACACGCATTCGTTGCTGGCTATTACAACCTAATACAAATGATAGAACAAGTTGTCAGTCGTTGCGATGGACTGTTTGTTTGATATAAACAAACCAAATATTTGTTTATGCAATTCTGATAACAGTAGACTACGTGCTGATTGGAATTTGAACCTTCAACCTTGAATCCACTTACATTTATTATGCAGTTGCAGACTGTCCTTGAACATAATTAATTAACTTTCTTATTTATGATAAGGCATATGCATTGCTTATCATTTATAATGTATTACAATAATTTTTATAATGTAATACAATGTGTTTTCCTTAACATTTATTCCAGTTTAGCAGATAGTATTGTTTTCCTATAGTCTGAGTCTCGGCTTCCAGTATTTTATTCAATAAAAAAAATAAAAATAAATTGTGCATTTTTAGGTACCTACATATTAGGGGCTGGATGCCAACAGGATTCCCAGCCCCTTGCCAGTCAGGCGAGGTCGGAGCGCCACTGGGTTATTTTAGTGGGTATACCGGGAATCCTTTCCCGGGGAGTCCCACATACCCCTCTCCGTCCCCCGACGAAGAGGGGATGCGTAAAGCATTTTTTCCCAGTGCGCACAAAAAAACACGGTACCTACATATTATAATGCACATTTTTCTATGATGAATATAAGTGTGTATATTTATGTATTTTTGTATCCTTACGCTTGAAACGTTTATTTACTTGTGTACTCAAACACATTCATGTAGACGCAATTTTTAGGTAGTTTAGTATATTTATTTCAAGGAACAGTTTAGTTTACTGGTGGAAGGATTTAGTATCTTTCATTTGGCTACAGAGGGTCACCGCGATGTATTTCCCTCTTACAGAAGATCTATATTTCTGTTAAGCCTTTCATCTGTGTGAGTGGGAACTGGTTACAGTTTTTCTGTTCTATTCTTTATTTTCCCCGAGTATGCAGTGATTTTATACCCTGTATGGTCTAAGTGCTTTCTGTATGGTTATGCGTCTATAATTAGCTTGCTATCCAGAGAGACCTAATGACACGGTAAGCTATAGGTCGGCCTTGGTAAATACGGTCACGGTCTCGGTCTAGAGAAATGATCCCACATTTTTCTTCTTTCCTCATCAATCTTAGTTTAATATACCTAATGATTGAAGTATTTAGCACAATTTTAAGACTAGAGTTGGGATATGCCTAGATATATTACGTCAAGAAGTATAATTGCTATTAAGACACTGACGATTTGAAGACATGCTGTATATCAGTGCACATATATATCTCAGTGGATTAACTTGTATTTATGACTGACCATAATTGAGTAACATCGAAATTGATCATAGGTTTTAGTATTTGCACCTAATTACAGACAGAGTAATTTTATGGTTTACACAGGTTTAGGTTATTACATAGTGATCAAGCATATTAATGAATAAACTATGTAGTTTATAGTATAATAGAATTGAAGGAGTTCTTCTTGATTAACCCTTGCCCTCAATGGAGTGAAGCCACAGAGAACCTGAAGCTATGCTTGTTTGCCTGAGTATCGTAGGTACAGGTCTTCAATCAAAAATTGTTTAGATGATTCTTTCCCCAAGGCCTTATAACTATTGAGTTGTTTGTTTGTTGTCGCTTTTAATTGAATATTTAAGTTTGTTAACGTTTAAATATAAAGTTAATTTAACTTAAAATTTAACAATCATGCTCCCGGTAGACCTATCAAAATATAACATGTAATTTTGGTCGAGTAAATAAACAAAGATCTCCGAAAAATTTCAAGATAACAGCACAAATAAAAATCGTTTTTTAAAACAAAATACAACGTTACGTTTACTAATGACTTGAAATTAGAAGATCAAATAATTCAGGTGACATACAAATGTACCGTTATTTAAGACTTAATATGTAATCATTTCTCTGTAAATGAAACAAGTAACAGCAACATGACAGCTATATAAAATACTAGCTGCGCCCCGCGGTGTTACCCGCGGATTTATGGGATTTCTTGGATGTAAAGTAGCCTATATGTTATTCCTGGACGTTAGCTTCCTGTATACAAAATTTAATCAAAATCGGTTCAACCGTTTGAGCGTGAAGAAGTAACAAACATACACACACACTCACAAACTTTCGCAATTATAATATTAGTAGGATTTCTATGAATAGATATTTGAAATTAATAATTATCTTTCGGGTGAGATTTATAAGTAGTACATACATAAGTCACATGAAAAAAAATTGCACTTGTTTTTTCGTTCTTATAATCATAAAAGGACGTTTTACATTACACCACAGTTGAGAAAATAATAATTGCTATTAAAAGGAAAATAGGCGTTTAAGTTGCTTTAATATAATACTTGTCACGCAGAATGTTATGAGATAAAATGAAATATTTACGAGGAAAAACAAGAATATACCATAAAAATTTATACAGAGACTGACATAAATACTTAGGGCTCTCTTTCTATAGGCGATAAGTTAGTAAAGGACTGTCTGGCTTTATTCTCATAAAAATATAGCACTAATAAGGATATTCAAAGTATTTGATAACGCTTGAAGGAGTAAATGCACTTCGCTTACATTTAAACCATATTAAGATCATGATTAATGGAATTTGTTACAAAACATGTTACAACTTAAAAGGAAGTTTTAAATTTTTCTACATATATATGTACGTTATTAAATTACTAGGTACTTTAAACTGAACAAAACATTTTAAGAATCAGTGTTTTATCTTTGGTAACTGGTAAATCCTAGATTTTCATTAAATATTGTCAAGTAAAGATTAGTCATTTCTGACAAAACATTAAAGTATTTGCTGAATTTACATTTCAATTTACCTTGGCAACATTTTTCAAATTGAAACATCTTTCAAGATTTAGATTGAACACTAATGTTTTATTATTTAATTTGCAAGCTTAATTAATCCCCGATGCAAAAGATTTATAAAAAGATAAGTGAAAGTTTGACGTCCATGCCTGTGTGTGTGACCACGTGCGTGCGTGCTTGTGTCTGTGCGGGTGTGTTCAGAACGGTGTAAGGTATTTTTGACTTATGATTTTCTCTCTTTCTTCGTATCCTCATAGCTGAAGGATATGACCATTGCCGGTTACTCTTGCCATCGTGCTCTCTACCCCGTTCGTGTCTTAGCCATTGGCCTGCACCTTTTCCTCGTGACCTCCTAAACTGCATCGGTCCATAATATCTGCATACGCGCTCAAGGTGGCTAGTGAATATTAGATACTTTCTACTGACGGCTTGATTATCATTTGTGCGGTGCTCCGTCCATTATATTCAAAGCATTTCGAAGGCACCAATCCTGCGACGAGTTCCGGCCTTCAGCGTCCAGGTTTTAGAGGCGTATAAAAAGATCGAGAAGATTAACGGCGGCATTGCCCTGATCTTTGTGTAAAGCTTTTCACTTCGATTCTCTTTATCGAAATTTTGGACATTTGTGATGTTCGGATGATCTCTTGGTCGCAGTCACCATCGTCATAATCGATTATCAGATTTATGCATGGCCATATAATTTTAATTGACAATGTAAAGTGACGGTGGCTTAAAATGTTGCTCAACAGTGTATGATTTATAAGTAAATAATATAAATAAAATATATTTAACTATGTTATCTATATTTATGTTTGTTACAATAAAATAAATGAATAATAACAGGAAAATTTTCTTATTAAAACACATTTTAGCAAATAATGATTTCAATAAATATTTAATGAATAAATATTTTAAATACAATTAACTTTCAAATCAACCACAAAAAATGCGAATAAAAAAATGCAGTCAATATAGCATTTATTATATTAAATTAAATCAAATAAAAAAATAAACACTTCAGGGTTCAGGTTAAATTAAAAATAAAAGCTTCTATAGAGAAGCAATAATTCATTATAATACATTTGTTTTAATAATTTAAAATGTTATGGATGGACAGTAAGTGGCCATAAATTATTATATATATTTCTTATCAACAAGATATACATTGGTTAAAATGTTATCTAAAAATGTGACGATATTTAGTAAAAAAAGAATGATTTGTTATGAAATTAATATACAACAAATGTATATAATCATTTTGTCATAATTTTCCATACTTTAACTTACGTATTTGGATAGTAGAACTATAATTAGGTACCTATACTTTTATGTGATGTATTCGTTATCAAGTTATCTGCAATGTATAAACAATAATTTAATCAGTTTTTGTCACAATACGACCTGAGACAAGCCATTAAGAGTTAAAACAGTGAATAAAATCGTTGATAGTAATTATTATTCGTGTAAAAATATTACAAAGTAAGTAATAGAACTCAGACTTGTTAAATGCAATTTAATAAGGAAATGAGGCAATTTTATAGTTTAATAAAAAGTTTTAACTGCATTTGATTAGGTTCTTATATAATTTTTTACTCCCCTTTTTTCTTCGAACGGTCCGTGAAGGATTACGAAGATTTAATAAAAAACTTTTCTAGTATTCTTCTAAGTCGGCTTTTTATAATTAATCGTTGGTTGCCTTGGATACAGTTAATTATTTTTATGATTCCATTGAAGCCGCTTAATTTTTAATATTTTTAAATTAAATATACATATCATTAAAAATCTTTGATAACTTTATGTGGATTTTTAGTATTGTTGTTTAATTTACTTGTGTGCTCAAATAATGTGTTAATAATGAGTTCTAAGTATCTTTAAGAAAATTTTTGGTGATAAGCAAAAAAATGTTTAACCTCTTAGATCGATTAACAAAACCAAATAGATCTAAATAATTACCTAATTTGACAGATAAGGAACCTCCTTATATAAAAGTAGCAAAGACCTTTTACATTCAGTTTACAAGGACAAAACTCTGAGAGTTGTTGTATTGATTAATGTAACTGAAGTATATAAAGAATTAAAAGTAATGCTCGTCTTTTTATAATTTTTCGTTATTTATGTAATATACTACTTATATCAATAAGTGACAGTGCAATTAAACTGCATGTTTGAAATAATCCCATGTATTACGTTTTTTCAGTCATGCCAGAAGTTAAAATAGAAGAAGCGAAGAGATTTATGGTTGAAGCCTTGAGGGCTGCAGGAGCACCTCTCAAAGAAGCTGAGGCTCATGCAGAGCTGCTCTTGCATGCTGATGTCGTCGGACATTATAGCCATGGAATGAACAGACTGGGTAAGAATTGTATAAGGCACTCCCTTAGATTACTATTTTATTTGAAAACACCCTTTTCGTTCATAAAATCCCACAAAAACACGATAATAAATATCTAATCCTACTGCTTTCAAGTAATAAATACATTTCAATAGTTTCATTTTCTATATGTAAATAGTTTTAATGTATGTTTGGTCCACTGACATTTTGCTATGTTCATAGTTTTAGAATCTAGAGAATATCCTGAATAAATTTATTTTCAAACCTCAATAATTTCTTTTCAGAGCTATACCTAAACGATATGAAGTCAGCTGTTTGTGATCCGAACGCTAGCCAGGTAATACTCAAGGAGACAGCAGCCACAGCGTGGGTCGATGGATGTAGAGCACTCGGTGCCACTGTTGGCAACTTCTGTATGAACCTCGCTATCAAGAAAGCTAAGGAATGTGGTGTAGGAATGGTAGCGGTCAAAAGTGAGTATGGTTTACACATAGAATTAATTTAAAGTTGATCAAAATTCATAAAAAATAAACTTCCAACCAAAAATTTTACTGTGTATGTTGGTATATAGATAACTTTTTGCTGGGAAGTCCCTTAACAAAGTAAATTTTAAATGTATAAGTTAAATTAATTATTACATGACATGTTCCTAAATATTTTAGACTGTAATCACTTTGGCATGGCGGGCTATTGGGCGCTAAAAGCTGAAAAGGAAGGTCTTATTGGAATGTCATTTACAAATTCATCTCCCGCCATGGTACCAACGAGAGCAAAAAAGGTATCTAACAAATTGTAGAAACATTACTTGATTTATTATGAGAAGATCGTTTTAACAAAATTAATTTAATAGTAACAAATAAAAAGGTAAAGATTTTCTTCATATTAATGCCATTTGTAATGTGTTTTTTTCTTTGCAGAGTGCATTAGGCACTAATCCAATAGCATTCGCTGCTCCCGCATCCGAAGGTGATTCTCTAGTCGTTGACATGGCTACCACCACTGCCGCTATGGGAAAGGTATTCATCACTTATATTTTGCAAACTATTACAACGAATAGATGGTACTTCAATATTAAATTAAGTTCCTTTATACAGATTGAAATGCAGATTCGTAAGGGAGAGCCGATTCCAGAAGGTTGGGCCTTGGGTGCTGATGGTAAAACAACAAAGGATCCTCAAGAGGTAGATTGTTATCAATAGATTTTGATAATTTTGTCAATAATCTATACTAATATTATAAAGCTGAAGAGTTTGTTTGTTTGTTCGTTTGTTTGTTTGAAAGCGCTAATCTCCGAAACTACTGGTTCGAATTGGATAATTCTTTTTGTGTTAGATAGTCCAGTTATCGAGGAAGGCTGTAGGCTATATAACATCACGCTACGACCAATAGGAGCAAAGATATAGTGGTAAATGTGTAAAAAACGGGAGAAATTATTTCATCTTTGAAGCCTTCCGTTGCGTGCGCCGTGAAAACGGTTCAAGATACACAAAAAATATGTACTAAAGAATAATAGCTCTTTTAATGATCTAAAAACAGTCCGCGACAGTATATGTCTATCTTTTAAGATTAACTCACAAAAACCGTTTTTATGGTACCTAATTTGGTCGAAATAATTTGTTTAAGTTGTATCAACATAATAATATTAATCTTTATTCAAATAAACAAATAAATATGTTGTTAGTTAAGAGTACTTCATTGTGAATAAAAAAAACATAGGTTTTATCCTGAAAATTCTACGGGAACTCGACCATTCCGAAAACCCCGCAAGAACGGGAACTATGTGGGAAGAACCAAAAATCTGCCGGAAGTCACTATTCCACGCTGACGAAGTCGCGGCAAAAGCTATATTGTATATTTGTTTAGAGAATTCCTTTTGAATTCAATTATTCTTATTGTGTGATAATTATTTTAATTTCATTTTCAACTTATACGTCGTCATTTTAAGTATTTCTGATTAATTGAAAGTGTTGTCATTTTGTACAGGCTTTCAACACAGGTCGTTTGATGCCTCTCGGAGGTTTTGAGTCAACCAGCGGTTACAAGGGATATGCGCTGAGTGCAATGGTCGAGGTTCTATGTAGCGGACTGTCTGGTTAGTAATATTGTTATTATTTAATATTAAAATTATTAAAACTTATAAAGAATGAAAGTTCTCCATTCTTACTTTAAAGCATAAAACCACAATAAAAAGATTAAGATCCTCATTGGTTATTTTAAGCTTATAGAATTGATTCCGCGATATTGTGTAAGTCTCAAGTTTGAATCTTAATCTTTTACTTATCTCAATTATTCATAAAAATATCGTATAAATTATCGATATTAAATCTACAGGATCCAACGCAGCTCACGACGTTCCTGCGTGGACACACACTCAAACGAAGGCTCCTAATCTCGGGCAATGCTTCATGGCGATTGACCCTTCGTGTTTCGCCCCTGGTTTTAGCGACCGACTTGGCAACTGTTTGGACCATTGGAGGGAGATGGAACCCGTGAGTTATAGAGAACAAACAATTAATTATCACAAAATTATCAAGTAACTAGTCTTATCTCGGAAGAAAATATTCTTATTCGTGATCACGGTTGCTGCAAAGTAACCGAAACGTTAGGAGCATGTTGTTTTTAAAAAAAGTGTTCTCGTTACTTATAATTAAGATTATTTAAAAAAGATTTTCAGTTTATAGTGCAAATTTAACAGCCGAAGAGTCTTTCTTTGACGAAATTTTCATGCTGCAGATGGATCCCGCATCACCAGTTCTAGCGCCGGGAGACAAGGAAAAAATAAACGGAAGTGAAACAGACGAAAGAGGCACCATAGTATACCCACAACAACAGATAGACTCGTACAGAATAGTGGCTGACAGAATGGGAATAACACCTATGGAAATTATTAACAATTAAATGTATATAAAACAATTAAATGGTACATTTGTTTTAAAAATTCTATATCCTTATTTTTTTAATACATCCTATTAATTTCAGAAACTGTTATAGAAAGTTTTATAATTTGATTTGACATGAATAAATTATAAGGTGAGGTTTATCAAAATTTTCGTAGATACAAAGGCTACAGACGTCTGTTAGTGAAAATTGGGCAATCTGAAATTGCCTTATAGTCATAAGACATTACATTATTTGTCATTTTTATTAAATGACAAAGTATATCTAATCTAAATCGAATTAACGAAACAAAATATGTTTATTTACATACATATACCTTAAGATATTTTTAATAATATAAAGACTGCGGAATATAATACTTCTATTCATTTACTAATTTTGATTAATAATGAACTGAAAGAATTGAAATTTATTCATAAAAAATTACAAATGTGATTTAAAATACATTTTTTTAAATGTTAAATTCAATTACATATGTATTTTTGGAACGGGTTGAATTTTTAAGTAAACGAGTTTAAAATCCAGTAAACTGAATAGTTGTCAAACTCCCAAATCTTTCAAACTCAAACAACTTTATTCAATATAGAAGCATTACACTTTCCTATTGATGGTCATTTGAGACACTACCACCGGTTCGGAAAAGAAAATACCCTGACCTGAGAAGAACCGGCGAAAGAAACTCAGCGGGTTTTTTTTTAAATATATATATATATACAGGGTGACTGGTGAGTTACTATCGATATTTTAGGACGTGATATTTGACGATCATATATGACAAAATAAAAATTAATATAACATAAATATTAATAAACTTCTGAGTTAAGTTAACCAAAAGTTGTGTAATTAATTACGCATCGTATGAACACCCTACAGATTAGGTATACACTGACACTCACACATACGCGTGTCGTGACGTGGTGTTGTATCAGCACGCCGCCGCACGCGTCCACACTTGAACACTTGGAACGTGTCAACACTTTATTTATTTATAGGGAAATTTTGTCAAAAATTAAGTACCTATTTTTTTTACATAATTGGAATGAGAATCATGTACCGAGTATGCTCCTTAAATATTGATAGTAATTCACCAGTCACCCTGTATATATATATATATATATATATATATATATATATATATATATATATATATATAAAATTTGTCTCATATATTATATACACAATTTAATATGAGATGAAATAGCCAGGAGGCGATCGTTTCATTCCCAAGGTGTGCTATCGATCATAAACTCATTAATTGTATAGTAACCTTTTGCACACAAGCGTTCCTTAATAATTTTTTTAAATTTAGCAATAGAGGCATTTTGAACGCTTTCTGGGATCCTGTTGTAAAACCGTATACATTGCCCCACAAAGGAGTTACTGACTCTATGTAGTCGAGTAACAGGAGTAACAAGTTTATGTTTGTTCCTTGTACCAATGCTATGAGTATCACATTTTCTCATGAAATCATGAATATTTTTTCGTACATACATAACATTGCAGAATATATATTGAGAAGCAACAGTCAATATCTTGATTTCTTTAAATTTATTCCTTAACGATTCTTTAGCTCCTAGGTTATAGATTGCGCGAATAGCCCTCTTCTGTAGCACAAATATAGTATGGAAAGAAAATGACTACGGTCACAGGGCAATAATTTAACGAAGTAAATTACTTATGAAACAGAATAAAGGAATATAAGAAGGTATTATGTACAATATCTATGATACGATACGAGTTTATATAGCCAAAATTACACAACTTACTGTTACAACCATAAATTGTTGATGATTTGTAGGCTACGATGTTAGAACTTGTAATAAATATATTGTATTAAAAAATGTTTAACTGAAAATCGTCTTACTTTCTAGTAATATATGAAATTGAATCTTAATTTTTTACACTTCAAAAGGATATTATGATTAAATATTTTTTGAAAAAGAATCTTAAATAATTACCTACGAAGCGAAGTGCTGAAAAGGTATAATAAACAAAATAAAACACATTCTAAGAAATAATTTATCTTTATTATTCCTTTTTAACGTCTCGAATTCTTTTCTAAGAAATCAAACTTGGCTTCACTTACATCGAAAAATACACAAATGATATATTGATACACAGATATAATACAACGTCATGTTGCCGACCAACTAACTCACTGGTACGAAAAGATTTGCAAGCGTAACGCTTCCGCGGCGATTCATTCAAAATAATCGTCAGTCTATGAACGAACGAGATCATGCCATCATGTCTCACACTAAACGTCTAACGGAGTCGCTTTGATATTTATAAAACGAAAGAAAGCTATTTAAATTACAAACATCCCCAATATCTCATAAACGACCAACTGTTCATACATTTTGTACATTTTTGTTGATTAATATTAATTTAAACAAAATAAAATCATGCCATTTATATTTGTCGTAGATATATTATGTTTTTTGGTCACAAATCATATAATTAACGAATTAGGCCCATGTTGTTTACATTATAGTGAGTGATAGACAGGTACATAGTACATTTATTTATTAAAATCGTATCGTGAAACTACATTTTGTTGTGTTGTTTTGATGATGACTACTTATTTAAAAATACAAACGACGTCGAGTCTTCCAATCTCTAGATATATTTGTGTACTTACAATAAATATAACTCGAACACTAGAACAACATAAATCATCGTAGTTAGTGATATGAAATGCAAAACAATATGACGTCAGTCGCCTCAGACTCGACTGGAAGACTATTGACTATTCAGTAACAGATAATTAAATCGGAACATTCTTTACTAATCGTTGAAACAACATAAACTCCTCCGTGAGTTCGCCCGTTTCCATCCTTAACTATAGTGCAGTACATACGTACAGAAACGCTAATCCCTTGTATTCGATAATATTGGACTATGAGATTTACTTGATTGTTCACTAGAAGCCATACATCCATACGCACAGCGATATTTTAAAACACTTCACGACACTATGGGATGCTCTCTACGTTATAAATATTCGTTCCTCGCTAGCACTAGCCCTAGTACTAGTATCGAGACGGTACGATTTGTGCACGCTACAAGTCGACAGTAAAATCCGCCACATTCACATACTCTTCCATCTATACTATTCACTTAATATATATTAATGTTAAGTTAACGTCTACGTTTTATTCTCGTTTTGTGGAATGCTCTTTTATAAATAAAGATCTCATTAGACTATATTCGAAAAAATTTTTAAAAATATTCTCATGGGGCTCTAAACATCAGTACAATGCCCAGAAGGAAAATTCGATGTCTATATTACAATAATCAACATGCTGAACACTAATATAGTAAGGAATTTACATATCGTTCTAATATATACAAAACTAGTTTGTGCTCTCACTAGTCGACTTAACATAAGACAGGAGTCCATATTGAATCGTTCTTAACTATTCACCGTAACACCGGCCACTGAGTCAGTCGCACACAAGGTCCAAGTAACCAGTTAGTTCACTTTGTATCAACACTACACATCACATACACTAAGGTTCACTCGAGGTCAGTTCGATACACATTCCTATATAGTTTTTATCACGTCACGCGGTCACCGTATAGTCCGGTACATGTTCGTGTACGTCAGTCCGTGAGTTTCGTCTCACGTGCGTCGATTCCTCTCAAATCCTTGTGATTGTGCGCTCGGCTGGGGGCTAGTGAGCTTTCCCTTAGCGTTTTCTCATTTTGGCGGCGTCGGGAAGGAGTTGACTACCGCCTGGGTACTCGCCAGTACGGCTGCCGCTGGAACACACAATCTTCTATTAAACTCCTCACAACGTTACGTCCACATCCCGTTAGTATCGAAGAATGACATCTTTCTACGGGATTAGTTAGACGTGTGCGGGGCTTGGCCGCTTATCGGCCGAATGCTATCGGGCCCCTGCAACCAAACACACGCCTACGTTAGACGGAAAGATGTATTCGGTACCAGAGAAGAATTAATGGAATGTTAAGAAGAATAGATTCCAGTTAAATGCTCAATGCTTAGAATTACTTTTCACATCAAACATGCATGCTTTTTAACAATTTTATTGAAATCGGGAAAGTGACATGACTCACATTAACTAGTACGTCGTTAATTAAAGAATATATTAGCTTGTAAACTAATTGTAGGATTTAAATAACGTCCAAAAATACTGACTATTTTGAAAATTTTCTTATCAACAAAATTCCAAAAAAAATCCGTTTTTTTAAATTTACAATATTTTCACACATATTATTATGAGAAATCGCGTGTTATATCAATTTCCCGATTAGTATATGTTAATTAAAAGTCAATACTCACCAGGGAACGGCGGCGGGTATATCGGGTAGCCGAGTCCTACGTGTGTGTGGTGATGTGTGTGTACGTGGCGTTGCGGGGGCGGAGACCGAGGGGCGTCCTTCGGAGGCTCCGGCCTTGGCGGCTTGCCTTGCGGAGACTTCGCATGTTCTTGCAGTTCATGTATCTTATGTGGGGGCGGATGAGGCGCGTGTGGCGCGTGATTCGCGTGAGGTGCATGCGGTCCATAGTATTGTGCTCCATGACCAGGTAGTAATTCCAATTTAGCGGGTGCCCCAGGCCGTGATAAATCCTCGGGCGCGTGGTAGCGAGGCACGGTCCAGCCGCCGCCGAAGCCAGGCACTAGCATGGGGCTGAGCGGCGCGCGGTATACAGGGTCGAAGGGCAAAGCCCCGTAGTGCGGCGGCTGCATGTATGGCGGGAGATAGTATTGGGAAGTGGGGGGCGGAGGAGGACCTTGAGTCTCCGTCGTTGGTTTTTGGCCTTCTTGTTTCACCTGCAATACGAATAATAAAAAAATATTCATTAATATAGAATGAAAATTTCATCGACATAGGATTCAATATGAACTAAGGAGTATAGCAAATAAATCAACAAAAATGAAGTATCCTAGAGGTCACAGGTTCGAAATCTGATTGTTTCAATTAATTTTTAATTCTATTTTTCAAATGAACAGTAATTTGAACAATAATAGTATAAAGTTCTTTTAGGTTAGAAACATACGATTAAGTATTAACTTAATCGTATGTTTCTAACGATCATACAACAAGATATATCATAAATTAAATATTAATTTATGATATATCTTGTTGTATGATCCGATTTGTATAAATAAATATGTACAAGAAGACGAAGGGATTTAAATACAGTTTTAATAATTCCGATGCTTACTTTAACTTCCTCTTTAGGCTTGTCGTCTTTGTCCTTGGGTTTGTGTGCCGGTTGAGGTCTCACTCCTCCAGAGGTCGCGCCAGGTCCCACTTGCTTCCCATCACCACCTTCCTTACGACGTTGGTCCAGACTCATGTAATACCTGCAAGATACAAGCAAAAAATATTTCAATACACATTAATTTATAGGATGATTTAATCGTTACATTTCAGGGTTTAAGTTTTTTTTTTTAAGATACACCATCGACTTATCATAGTAACTAACACAATATTATAATGCAATAAATATTCAATCCAGTATGATTTGCCTTTACAGGTAGGTGTATACAATTGTTTTTTTACTTAAATACAGACTAAACGGTATAAAACTAAGATAAAACAAAACAAAATAAAAACTAGGTTTAAACAACGTTAAAAGTTTTTGATACTTATATGGCATATACGTAAATTAATATTAAATAGTATGATCGGCAACTAACCTTCTTAATTCCTCCTCCCTCGCGTGCGGCGGTCGTTGGAAGGCGTAAGGTCCCATCTGAGCTTTCATTTCTATACTCTCTTTTAATATCTGATGGTTTTCATTCGGCCTGGACGGGTCCTTTCCGTCCGAGTTCCTCGACTGCTTGTTCTTGTCTAACGGACTGGGTGTTGTTTTAGATCGATCTGATTCTTTGGATTTATCATCTAGGGCTGCTCCAGGAGGGGGCCCGGATTCCACGTTGTAGGGAAAATTTGGGACATAATTGTATGGATAGAAGTGGGGGGGCAACACCTTCTGAGAACCACCTTCGGGTTTACCGTCCTGGAAAAATATTATAGAAGAATATAGTACCAATTGCATCATTGTATAACTGATATTTTCTGAGAAAATTAATTTTATTACCTTAAGGTCAGCTTTGGGGTCTTTTGAGAGGTCTTCTTTTCCCTTATCCGTGGGAGGCGCGGTGGCAGGATGCGACGGCGGCAGGTACGGCGACTGTCCGTAATACTGAAAAATGTAAAATAATGTGTTAAAATTAACTTTATGAAATCTTTCTTAATGGTATTTATTATTCTTTTTAATTACGTACTTTTAGTTACTACAATAAATGAGATGACAACACCAATTCTGAATGTTAGTCCACTATCTACTTCTTGATCTTATCTCATCCTTTAAATCATTTTCTTTTTAATTAACTATCATATCCGAATTCTAAGGTAAATATAACTTATTCTCGGTAAACTCTCTTCAAGATTCTCTCATACATACGACCATACTTTATATTTTTCCAACTACCCTCCCACTAAGAAAGCTCTCTCGATGGTACTTTTACTATACACATTTATAATTATTGTTACTTTTTAATTCCCCCTACCAAGATATCGTTTAAGATGTAACGCTATCGTACCTGATGATAGACCGGGAAGGTTCTGTGTTCAGCGTCAGCGGCGCCCTCCGGTGGTGCAGCGTCGTCGGAGATATCGGAGTAGGCGGGTGACCTCACGCCCGGAGTCGGGGAACGACGACGACGCTTCCCCGGAGACCCGTCTGGAGACTCAGTTGACTTACGCTCCTCAGACGGCATTAGTGCAGACCGCGGCTTCACCTGCAAATAGATATAGACACTTTAATATATATAACTTATTGAAACCGATAGTTATAATTATAATTAAAGAAGTTTTCAAGTAGAATGAAAAATTCTATTATATCCAATTTAACAGACACTTTAATATATATAACGTATTGAAACTGATAGTTATAATTATAATCAAAGAAGTGTTAAACATTCTAGACAGTGGTGCCATGAATAAAGTTTTGTTACGAAAAATCACCGAGTGTAATCTTGGAACAATAATATAATTGGTGAAGCCACAGCAATGAGATTTTTGGAAAGTGGCACCTATCAATTCTTTTATATGAATTGAATTTTTAACATCCGTTATTACTTTATAAGAGCAATTTAGTTTTATTGACACAGAATTATGAATTTAAAAGTCAAAAAGTTTCGTCATAGAACATTAAATCGATTTAAAAATATCGAATATATTGAGCATATCCGTTTCCAGTGATCATGCTTACCTTGAACTGTGTCAACTGTGTAGTAGGCTGTTGTGGAGGATGAGATTCAGGCGGGGGTGTGGTCGGCGCGGCAGGTGTCGGCGGTCGCTCGTTCACTGGTTGAGGCTCCGGTGTTGACGCGAACTCCTCGAACCTCGGCTGTGGGGGTGATTCAACTGGTTCCGTCTTTTCCGGAGACTTTTCTGGCGACTTATCGCTTTTTTCTTCAGGTGACTTAGTGGGTGTGGGGGATTTCACCGGAGTGGCCGGTGTGGCGGGTGCTGAAGGCGGCCGCGCCGGTGACGCGGGTTCAGTCGCAGTTTCTTCTTGCTCTGAGCTCGAGCCGTCTTTGTCCTCTTCATCGGGCGACCCGTGTGCATGTGATCTGTGATACTTCAAACCGTTCGCGTGCTTGTATTTCTTGGAGCAGTTCGGCTCTGGACACTCTAGCAGCACCGGGTCAGGAGGTGGAGAGGATGTCGTGGGCGGTGGACGTTTCGCTTTAGGAGTAGGGGGTCTCTCCTCAGCGTCAGAGTTCCGTTTTCTTTTGGAGTCCGGTCTTGGAGGTGTGAAGGGTGTGGGTGAGGGCAGCGCTCTCCGTCCCTTTGCACCGCCGTTCCTTAATTTGCTATGGACTGAAGAACGCGTCTCTGTGAAGTTCGTCATGTCTGTGGGCGCGGCGCCGCGACCGCGTTTCGCCCGTCCTTTCGGTGTCCGGGCGTCCAATTCCTCCGTAGGAGAATCGCAAAATCTATGAAAGAAAATCTTTAATAAATATAACAGAAACGATTAAAATTTATAAAAAAAAGATATGTAAGAAATCGAATAATATTATCTGTATTAAATATGTAATAAACTAACCGTGGCGGCGCCCAGTCATGTCTGGTACAGTCCAACAGTGTCCCGACGTAAGTCTTCCCTCGCCACGTCACATTCACCACCAGTACTCCTGTGAATATGGTCACACATGTCGAAAAGTTCCAATGACGGCACACAAGCCAGTGTGGGTGCGATCGAGTTATTTGCAAAGCGATCCAATTTATAAGGGGGCCGCTCATTAGCATAAAGGGTGAGAGTGCTCCTCCCACCTCCCATAGTTCCAGAGACGTGACTTTAGCAGCATATTTAGATTTTAGGAACGCGTTCAGAATCCCTCGCTTATCACGCTCGCGTGCTAACTTATGCAAATTTAATTAATCAATTTAATCCCCACGACATTCTACTCGTATTATTTGCTGTGTTTGCATAATTTAATGATTATAAAATAAAGTAATAATTTTTGAGTAGTCAAAAGCTTTTTTCTCTTATATATTGCTAATTTTTGTAATTCCAACATAAGCGCATGCACTATATGCACTTTCTACTAAACATGCATATGTCTATTTATATTATAGTGTACCACTAAAACTATCTAATCTGAGAACAAGTACAATAATATAACGAAAATCCGTGAAACAATAAATAAATAGCATAATATAAGCAACGAGTTACGATGACTCACTGTTTATTATTTATAGTTTCACAAAACAATGAAACAAACATGTTATATTACCAAAAGCCATTGTGATTTATAAATACAACTATTAAAATAATTTATTCGTAACACAAGTTAATCTTTAAATCAAAACCTCAACAAAACAGCGTTGCAAAACCAGAATAGTTGTAACATTGAACTATTTCATCACATGTTAAGGAGATGAAGAAGATGAGATGCAAATGCCATATGATACTTAAAACTTAAATAACTTTTTAATAAATTAAGACTGGCGTGATGTTAATTTTCATTCCGTCATAATGAAACAAAAATTTCTGGCATAAAGAAAAAAACAGACTTAAAAAATAAATATAAAGAAGATCAAAGTTTTTACAACGTAAATAAAAGGATTATATAAACCGCTTTTTGTTCAAAAGTTTTCATCATTACGGTATTATTATCTCTTTCTTCTTATTAAAAAGAAACTAAAGTTTTAAAGAGCCGGAGCAGGAAAGCGGGAATATTAAAAAGCGGGCAGATGGTACTTCCGATGCTAGAAATGTCGGACGCGCGCTTCCCTTTTATTATTAAGGGGTGAGTTTCACTCGTAAATTGTTAACATGGACGTTCGGTCACGGAAAAGTTAAATTAGACGAGCGGCCCTTTGGTTTGCGTGTGTGGGATTCGATTAGTACCCTTGTCACTAGAGCTTCACGAAGGGGTGTAGAGAGACGTTTTTATTTAACCGAATACTCAACAAGAAACACATCAATTAACATTAACGTAAGGTCAACCAACCTTTCTTAAAGATCTTTCTTACTATATACATTTTAATTATCCATACAAAGTAATGTTCTGTGATTGAGATCGCTACGGCAGTACCAGGATAGCAGAGCTCTGTAATAGGTTCATTTAGGGTGCTAATTACACCCGGCCGTAATCAAGTGACTAATGGCTGTCGAGCGCCCGCTTTCACATTTAGCTGCTTTGGTCGTTCCTTTGATCTCCGTTTTAATCTCAGTGCAATAAAATTTATTTCTTTTATGGTAACTCCATTTAATTTTAAATCTCTCGATATATTTAACTTTTATACATTATTTTGTCTATTCTTGGACGAAGTATCTGTTTTAGTTGTCGGTTACTAGTGTAGTTCTAATCTGTTAAGTGAGTGCTTTGTTCTAACGCATACCTAGTTTGGTTTCAAACATTTATTAACACCCGTTCGACGTCAAAGCAAACTGTGTACTCTTAAAAGCTTGTCAACAAAACTTAATTAAAATTACCGCCTCCAGGCCACTTCACAGCGGTCGTGTACATATATGTTATATAGGCTTTTGTACGAACATATATTTTTTAACGTTAATTACATTAAAAGGCTTTCCGATCTCTCATTAAGCAAAATTAAACGAGGATAAAATCGGAATTCATACTAAAAAAAAGGTCGGTAAAGTAATGTACAAATTGTAACCCTCGATTCTATTAGGATGAAATAAATAAACAATGGGGCGTGAATCTTCCCCAGTGAGTTGATACATTCAGAAATCTCTGGACAGATGTTGATTTATTATCACGTTTTATAACAATTATACGTGACGCTGGGGGACGTATTGTGCTTCGGATGCAACACAATGGAAAATCGTACATTATATTTGTATGTAACTAATAGACGAATATATTCCTTGTAATATAGATGATAAGCATTAAAATTCTACATCAATCTTCGAAATATCCATAGTGCGCAATATACTGATTTCTACTATATGATGGATGATTGCCGTTCCAATGAAATATATGGGTCATCAACGTACCAATGAATGTATCAGTCAAGAAGTTTTATTGCACCATCTTAACTTTTTTAACATATCATTGTTTTCGAACAAAGAAAAGGTAACATATTTTTTAATTTTGATTTAGTAGCTGCTTTTTTTATTCTAACAAATTAGGATTACTTTAATGTTCTCTTTTTAAACTTGGAGTTTTTATTTTCCGTGTTTTTATTTAATGGGAAATGGGTACGTAAGGGTCTGCGAAGCGGATCAAAGTACTAGGCGTGCATAAGCGTGCTGGAGGTGTCGGATGAGGCTGTGCGTGGAGCCGTGCGCTAGTAACAACTCACCACCTTCCGTTTCGTGCCACACGATGCCCTCCAGCGTGACCGATGTACCAGGCTCGCAGGGGCCGAGGCAGTCAGGCTCGGTGATCGTGCCCACCGACGTCCCCACACATACTTCTGCCGTCTCCTGTAATTCGATACACACACGTTATATACACGTATTAATCCATTCTACATTTATTTTCACAAAATCCCCGTACAAATCGCGGCGATTCGACTGAGCTTAAATAAATAAAATGTTTTATTTTATTTCGCTTGAGGTAACGAATAGTCGAAACATTTTGATATGGTTTATTCGAAACGAAAACAATTTACGATCTAAAACAGGTTTTGTTTGTACGTGTTGTAAAAACAATGGCATAATTTTCCATTCTCTATGGAACTGGACTGGAAATATTATCAATAGAAATAGTAAACGTTTATAATTTTAGGTTGAATAAAAACATTTCATTTCAAATTAATGTGATTCGAATTTGTTGAAAGACGAACTTTTCAACTTTAATGTAATAAACCTATATTATATAAAATACGTAATTCCAGAGCTCAGTTATTACTTAGAAGTAAAGTTGTATAAAAATAGCTTCAGAAGCAAACCATTTTTATTACATAATCTCAAGAAGTACTAACTAAGACTATAAATATAAAAAGCGTTAGAATTGTACAAGATAATAAAATGTAATGGTTTGAAGTTAGTGGCCAATTTAAATTGAACCTTATTAATTATAGTATAAACTCCATATAACGGCACACAAGGGACTGGTTTTATTTTGACATTATAGAGTTGTCACGAAAAACGCTCTATTAATTCAATTGTGTTAAAAATGCGTATCAACACTTCTTGCTGCTCCACTATTGTTACTACAATACAAACTATACTTAGTTGTTATGTTTGCTGGAATTTTCCATACCATCCCTCTGATACTTTGAAAGAAATTGAACTAAATTCTTCAACAAACTTTTTAGTTTTTTGTAATATTTCATATGATAAAATGACTTAATCCAAACAGGCGCCCAACATAACCTATCTTCTGTTCCGCCTCTGTTGCTTGTTTTGAAAGTTAAAACTTTTTTGTCAAAAAGAGGTAAACATAATGTAATTCTCTGACTTGTCATACTCACTGTTATAAAGTTTATAATCCGTAACTAGTAACAGTTCTCATATTAAATCAAACAGAATTTGTAAATAAACGAACAGATATCTTAAAAAGTTCTATATGTATGATGCTGATAATTTCCTACGATCTAAGATGATAAAGCGATAAAAGTATGTGAACATTTAAAAAAACAGTTTTCTATGTTCTAATTCATATCATTACCGAGAGTGTATAACGCTGTAGTGTATCATTACACGGAAAACAAACTAAAGTAACGTGTCGAGTGATACCGACGCGTTAGGGAGTTTGTCATTAAATAGAGTTACCTGTAGTTTACATTCTACCTCACGCATGTACTGTAATAAATTTCTATATTTTAATATATATTTTAGACATTAGCTTTAACATCACTGGAGCACACATTGTACAACACAAACATTACTAGCGCTCCAACAATCACTAGAATGTTTACTGTGATGCTACATTAACTATAGCGTATGTAGCACCTGGCCTTACGGACAAACTACTTTATTATACATACCAATTGGACCGAGACTAGTAGCGCTCGTAATATTATTACACTCACAGGACATACATCATTTAATTTAAATAACTATAATAAAACGAAATCCCCGTTAGTTAATTGGTAGACATCACCGCGTTAAAAGCAAATATTCCATTATTCGATACCCACGCGTGGTGTATAAATATCGCAAACAGTGTATTGTTAGATGAAGACAAATGTGCTCGTCTTACGCCCACCGCGTCCGTTATCAGACAATGGCATGTTTATATGTACAGTTAAGCCGCATATTAATATTTCGACACGGCATGTAGCCATCAAGACTTTTATGAGTCGAAACCTGCTCGGCGAGTAGGGGCCGGGGGCTGGGGGCTGGGGTGGCTTTGTGCGACTAGAACGAAGGGTCCCCGTTATGATCGTTCAAAGCTAGCAACGACTGCAAACAAGGGTACCCAGCTGCCGCTTCATAACAACCGACTCGAAAAACTTCATTTCGAATTAACATTTCAATAAAACTCGAACGTAATGGCGTATCGGACGCGAATAAAAGTCGGAGGCGCGGTGTCAACAGACAATGGCTAGTAAATCAATTGAAGCGGGAGAAAACAAAGGAATGGGCCTGCTTGGGAATGTAATGAGAGGGCAGGCTTCGATTAAGATTGCGATGGGTCCTTTGAAGGTCTGTTTGGGTGAGGAACTCGTTTGTAAACGATTTCGACACCCGACTACGCACGTAAGAGTACAGAAGTTGACACTTAAAACACAATGTTAATTAAGAGTATTCACAAAAAGCTGAGTCATTGTAATCTTTTATCATTTTCCGTCTCGTTTTGTTTGCAATACAAACATTTGGCAGCCATTTAGGTGTTTCCAACCGTGTTACAAAATTAAGGAGCGTTTAAAACGAGAAGGCGTTTATCATCGATATAATTTGGGTAAACGGAACGATTGTGTGCACATTCATGGCGCGATGTCGCTGACAAACATAATAAAAATAATTGGAATTTTAAGCGGTTTCGAATATAAAGGAGGTAAAGAGAAAATGTTGTAAACGACGTGTACGTTAATACCACCGTCGAGTTATGTGATGACATTCCGATGTAATTAATATTCATTGAAGGCACACGGAACATATTATACAAAACAAAATGGTTCTCACGATTTGCTCCGAATAAAGACATTAATGAAGCCAGACAGCCAAAGACACAGATATTAATATGTTAATGAAGAAACGTGATCGAGGCTTCAAATTACTAATAAAAATGTTTTACTTAATATCAAAATAATTACTCTTCCTTCATAAGCCCTCCTTTGTCTTCAATTTGGACTTTTAATTATATTTTGTGGCGAAATCTTTTCCTCGCCAAATTGAATCTGATATTTTCGTTTAGAATTTAAAGTAGGAATAATTTTCCTGAGACGACATCTAAATATCTTTTGTTACGAAATTTTTATTAACAAATTTCTGGCACAATTTTGATAGAGAAATTATTGTATTGAACAGTCGCTCCGTCGTTAGGGTGACGGGGCTCGAGGGTGGCACCCTCATCCGATCTATTAAAAACTAATTAGCTTTTAAGAGTTTTTGCAATTCCATTATAATACCGTCCTTAAATACTGTAACCTAATGAACCTTCTACGTACTAAAGATAATTTAGTTCGGATATTATATATACTAGTGCTCACAAGAACTTAATTTTTATCCTATGAGTGTAATAAAAAACTATATAAAACATAAACGAGACGCACTTGAGATGCAATAAAAGTTTACTTATAGATTATAAGATGTTATCAACAGATAAATGCAATCTTAAATAAGGCGTAGTATCAATACATATACCAATATAATATAAATTATAAAAATATTCTAGTAGGTCGATATAACAGATTTCTTGAAACACTTAGCTTCATTCTTTAATACCAGTTTTATCATTATGGAAGTCTCCGCCCGTAATGGAAAGATGTTATTGCTTAAAATGATTATAGCTTCAAAGAAGACGTCTCTTGTGAAATACATATTTCTATGAAAACTTTGGTAATTATCAAGTTGCTAATTAGGGATATTCAGGGCGATTAGCTTTCCCTTTAACACATTCGGTGTTCAAATCTTAATCGTGAGTAAGGAGCTGGGACGCATCTGCGGATTCCATTACTTGCAGCTCTCAGACTATAATTAAACCGTTCTTTATCGCCCCTTTTATGAGGACTCTGTTTTTGTTCCGATTGTTATAATAAATAATTTACACTTTAAAATCATTTTATTTACGGCTCCTGTTAAAATAATTTAATGCCGGGAATTAACTCCGGTGTATTTTCGTATCTCGAGTTCAATGACGTCGTAAAAAGAATCTCACCCTCGACTTTAATAAAACATTATCTCCCTCACAGTACTTTATAGCGATTCAATCTAAGTACCCCACTGACGTTATAGACGTAATTATGGTCATAACAAGTTCTGAATATGATCTGTTAAGCTTAGTAATTGTATAAATTTTTAGTTGCGCGAGCAAACCCGACGGACGAAGTTAGTTTAAATATGTAACTCTATATACTAGTAATGAATATATATCATCTAATTTGACTTATCTTTTCTAGTTAGTCTGATAGAACTAATTTTATACTTATGTAAAATTATATGAAGCACATCGTAAAGAATGAATGATGAACAAGAAAATATATTACCCAAAAGTTATGACACATAAACCAAGGAGGAATGTATATAGAAATATGAAACAAAATATTATTATGAAACGTTTAAAGCTCATTCATTAAACGTAAATGAAACACTGAAAGATATTTTAATCAAATTATACGAGAGATATTTCCATGACCGGCCGCTTAATGATAATTATATTAAATGAATGCCCACTTAGACAGCTAAGTTTCTCAGATTTAATTAAAATTTATATCCTCTCTATATAAACATAAGTAGGTAAACACTAGGTTGTTTCGCCTGGAATCGTTTGCATGTTTTTTAGAATTATATATTATCATCAAATCAGACATCACTCGAAGCGTGAATAATAAACGGAATCACGAAATGAGCACGTGTAAAAGGTATTACAGCCAAAAGTATCGCCTTGACTAAAAATTTTAGACTGAGGTTAAAAATAAAGCAAATTCCATACGTCTATATGAATATTAACAAAAATTATAACTAATATTTACTTGAACTAGGCTTTTCATCAGCGATTTATTTTGTGCTAACTGATTTCTGCTTCCAATGCATTTATATTCCCAGTTATGATTATAGCATCCCTTAATATGTAGATTTAGGTCATTTTAAGGCTAGTATGAAAATTATACTGTATATAGGAAGTTGCTCTTTATAAGAATTCATTTTGATTTTTTACTCAACATTGTTATGAGAATATGACAACATCCACTCTTGTATTGTCAAATGCGTGTAAGCTAAGATAATTTAGTTTAAAGCATTCTCATTCATCGTTACGAGTTTGATAATGGTGAGACTGCGATATTTCAATACTTTTCTGCGAATGTAAATAAATAAATTTACTATAAATAAAGTTTCTTTAGCAAGTGCACAAGTTAGCAAGTCGATAGTTGTAAGAGGTCTGATATTTTTTTCAAGGAAGCCGCTAGTTCTTGTTGTCTGTCGGCGCCCAGCGGAGCGCATTGTGAACTTTCTTATACAACTCCGACAATTTTCATTGACGGCGTTCACGGTTGCGAATAAAGCTTTGTTATTACTATTTTAATTGACGCTTCAAGCATTCAAATAAACTGTATATTATGTAATGAGTTTTTTTTATTATAATACAAATTAAGTTAAAAGTACATAACATATTTTGATAACATTACATTTCTTAGAAATATAACAATTTTTTTTTTGGTCAAAATTAATATTATTGTAACAACAAAATCGAGGCAAATTGTGAGCCATGTTAGGATGCATTTATTATATCTTCGATATGATGGCTTCGTCATAAATGACTTAGCTCATAAAAATAATAATAACTTTATACGAAGATATAAAAATACTGACTTTGATTGCTTAAATAAAACTCTGTTGAATTCACGTCTCAATCCTTTATCATTAACGTTACAAATGTAACTAATTTAGTAATTCAAAATTATTTAAATAACAAATGCTTTTGAAATACATTCAACTAATTTATTGAATATGAATTGGTATACATTAAGTATATCACTTATCAGTGCTAAGAAATTTTCAAAGCTAAGTTAAAAATAAAAAGAATAATTCAGAGAAGTCTTCACAACTGTCTACGATTCAGATATTCACCCCAACGGCAAAATAAACGGACGGGCAAAGGCGACGCAAATACCAATTGAAGGAGGGGTCCTTAAATCACCCTCGACGGCAGACAACTTTAGTGACCCCATCGGCAACGTGATATTTATCCCACTTTTAAACCTCTTTACGGACACAATAGAAATTGACTAGTCTCTGGATAAAATAAACTCATTCACCGGATAAACCTTCCACGGAAAGAAACAAAATATAAGTTATTTCGTGTACCATTTCTCTTCAAAGATGAAGCCGATGTAAATATTCATAATCATCTCATATAAATATCCCCCGAGACAGCGCGTTGATGAAACAAGATGCTAACTCTAAGAACAAAGCTTTTAAATTATTCAAGTCGCGTCTCCCGCCTTTGTGCTCGCGCTATTATTTAAAATTATTTTTAATTGCGTAAAAGCAAGCTAAAAACATAAGAACGACTCGGAGTTAATTACTCGAGCAATAAATTATTCAAAGTTGTGTAGACGTCGCGTAACTAATACGAATAATAAAATGGTAAAGTTTCCGCTTCGATGAGCCTGTATGAGTGAAGGGAGCGTGTAAATCGCAACACGACAATGGACCGTTATGGAATCACTTTTTTACGGCTTAGTCGGGACGGAGAAATTTTAACCTCGTTTTCATTGAAATTCACATTTCATCCGAATAACAAAGGGTTGGGCTCTTTACGTAATGTCAATTGTGAAGAGGGTAGCCGGAGCCCCGGGCGTGCTCAGAACTGCGGACGGAGAGGATTTGAGAACTATTTATACATCGCCCCGCGTACGGTCATCCATGTTCTGTATACAGGGTAGGTATCTGCACACCGCAGCCGCCGACAGATACCTACTGAATTATTCATGAGAGCCAACCAATGTTTTAAAAAGTTAACAAGATTTCCCGAGCTTTTTCTTTGTTCTGCTATTTTACAGAGGGAAACAGATTTCCTCCACTCATACAACGTTAAAAATATAATTTTGCTGAGATGAATATACTATTTCAAGTAGGTATATTTAAAGGAAGCCATCGCGTGTAATCTTGTAGAATAATCCTATAGAGTAGACGCAACCACTTCTATAAATGTTGAACGTTATTGCGTGTTACGCGTATTAATCTAAGCCTTAAAGGCTGAACTGAACGCGTTCATTTAATATGGATAATTTTAATACTAGAGACTCCTATTAGCATCCTCTTGCAAACTTGATCACGCGCTAATCTCCTTACTAGGGTAACAACAATTAAAGTGTAGTCCGACTAAAGTTGGCTTTTAGCGTAGCTCTAAAAGTGGCGGTTTACTTCGTACCGCAGGCTCCGGTGCGGATATCTAGCCGATAACAGGATTACCGCGCCCTCCCTTGTTGCCGGGTAATTCGCACGCAAACTTCCTCCTACCTACCTCCTACACGATACTGCTCTCCTGGTACATTAACGTTTTTGTTTTACAAAAAAATATTGTTGTGGCTTATAAAAAAAAATATTTTGCTGCTTAAATTAAAATGAGGATTAAAATGAGGATTTGTTTTATGTAAAGTAAACATTTGTTGTGCTTTTATACAAACAACATTTACAGATTAAAACTGAGATACATAAAATGTTAGGAAAATATCTAGATCGAAAAATATCTAATATCGCTTTTATAAATAATATTTAAGATATCAACCAGCATCTTTCTTATATTGAAGTCAAACTATGTGTAAGCATTACCACTTATATTTAGTTGCTCACAATATATCTCGAGCACATATTCAATTGAAAGATCGTCATCGACATTAAAATATGATATTATAATAGCAAATAAAGTTTGAACAGTTGACGGCAGTCGTGAAACCTTAACGACAGTATAAAATGGTAATGGATTAAGTTGATCGCCGCAGTCGGCGTTTAACGAGCGACCTGAGCCAACTTCCTCAATAAAATAATAGTCTTTCGGTCTCGTACCCACGGGCATAAATACGGCTTTTAAAAAAATATTAATGATCACACAACACGAACGGCTTTAAATACCGACGGCGTATCTTAGCATACAAAGGAAAATATGCCTCGAGTACACATGTTTGTTTGCGTTTAGAACTAATAAAATATATCAAATATTTGAATATAATTTTATGATTAAATATTGTGTGGATTTAAATTCCAAATTATATTCAAATGTTTATAATTGTTATGGTTATAAGGTTCAAAATCGTTTATCTATGATGTGGACCCGTTTACCGCCTACAATGATATTGTAATAGGGGCGAGAGTCGGGACGGAAATTCTAAATAATATTTGTTTTTTTTTATGCGGACGAAAGTCGACAACGAACAGCCGACGAGCGACAGCGGCGCACAATGTTTGCTGTTAATATTTATTTTACGATGGCACTATCGACGCTCGCTAGTGAATAACTTTTATCAACGATTAAAAATTCATTTTTAAAAACGTTTGCGTAAAAATTTTAACACATTTCAGTTGATTTTTTTTTTTTAATTCTTTATAAAATTAAATGCTAGTTCACCGTTCGTGTGAGTGCGCTGACCGACAAAAAATATAACGACTTTATGGCGCAATAATAATTTCACGTCGGCACACTTTTTTAAAGTAAAATTTCATTTTCTAAATATTAAATGATAAAGCTAAAAGAATATTATTATATTTCATATCAAATACCTAATTCACAAATGCAAAAAAAAGTAAACACAAGTCGCACACCTATTAATTACAAAGGGTACCTACCTACTGTATTATATAGTTATAAGACCGTTTCGCCTCTTAAAATTCACTACGTCGGTTCAAAGAGAAAATAATTAAGAGAGGAGGTTAAGAAATGTGGGGAGATCAAAGGAGGAAAAGTTCCCTCTGAGTGGAGGTGCGAGGGATTTTGGTATGCTACTGTTACTACGTAAGATTACTTCACTGTTCACCTTATGCCTTGATTATATGCCTTTCGGATCTAACAAGATCAACTTTGATTTACAAGGGTTCGAATTAACCTGCCTTATTCAAGATAAGTAAATACATATAAACTCATAATTATTTTTTATATTATTAAGTACATTTGTAATTCAGCACGGATTGTTAGTTCAAACATTCATATTTAATTAACCTCACTTTGTCAGTACTAAATGAACTTGCAATTAATTCCAACTGCTTTTTAACGGGTATCCAATTAGGGTGCAATTAAATTGTAATTATATCGTTTTGAATTGGTAAGAATTCAATTTCTAGAAGTATATTCACATTATTCAGACAATAAAATAAATAAGAGTTGATCGTTAAATAATTTAATCAGTACATCTACATATATATTAAACATAGTCTTTTAACATAAAATTTAGCCTTTCTATTCCATTTAATGTTTTAAGTAAGTAACGGTTAAAGTTTTTCAGAGCCTGTCATATTTGTTGCTAGCAATATTGTTTATCGTTCTTTACTATGCTTACCACCATAACTTTATTCAACGATTCTTAAAATTCACCAACCAACCATTGCTGGCACGAAAAGAACTGTGTCCCAGTGACTTCGAAAATTTTTCGGCTTTTTCGCGTAAGATAGGCCCAGATACACTTATGTTTTTGTCCCGACACTGTTTGAACCAGGTGAGCAAGTATTCCACTAAGTCAGGAAACTCTGAAAACGTCGTTTTTTGCAAGAAAAATTGCTTCTTGATTTGTATTTTTGGAGTATTTTGGCGTTATTCTTAATTATTGTAGATAAAATGGTTGCTGGTGGCCTATAATGAGCTGCAACATCTTTTTCTTCATGCCACTTTTTACCGCATTGATAATTTTTTTTTTCACGTACAGTTAAAGTCTTTAGTTTCCTTTTGTCACTCATGTTCTTAATAGGCAAATAAGTACCGACCGACTAGGAACAAACATAAGTTACTTAGAAAGTCAGTGATTGCATATACAAGGCATAAGAAATAGATTAGAAGAACATTCCCGAACATTCCTTTCGGATTTTATTCCTATGACTTTCATGTACCTACACAAGTTAAACGTCTTTGTTTTACTTTACTAACTACGACTTATCGAATCTCCGTTTTGATTTCGAGTTATAGGGTATAAATATGTCTCATAAATACCCCATAGGGAAATAATATTTTGTTCGAGTTACAAAGTCTAAATAATTCGACATACAGTATATTTAGGGCTTCAGCTGAAGGGAATAGCATTTTTTTCGACTTATTGAGAATTTCGATTTTTGAGGTTTGAGTTATAAAATAATAGTTTAGTTTGTATCATGTTTATTAAATAATAATACGTACTTTATTTTCTAATTTATGCTTGTACCAGGGAACCATAAAAATGAAGTATAAATAAATATCACATTACCCGCACGTTAAGGACAACCCGTTCCCCTTGAACACGAGTCATTTGACCGCACGCTGATACCACCACTTACCTGAAATAAACAAAACACGATTAAAAGAAAATCATGTTAAACGTACAGTAGATACGCAGATCCACGTTCAAATCGACTTTTATAAAAAAAGAAATATTTGTTATAAGTAAAACTTTAAATATTTGTTATAAGTAAAACTTCAAATATTGACATCATTTTAACGTAATATAGTTAATAAAGAAATCTATAACCCAATATAACTAGTCGCGGCTAAGTTGAGTACCGTGTTTATGTAAATAATTCATTTCATATGCAGGGAGTTAGTGTGGAGTGCTTTTGAAGGAACGCCACTCGCCACACGAACCGACAAATCGTAATAAAATTTCATCGCGTCAACCATTTTCGGGGTTGTTTCAAAGGCGAATCCGGCGAAGCCAGGCGTGCCAGAACTCGCTAAACAGCCTTAAATTGTTAAAAATTAACATTCAAATTACGGGAGCGCTGTTAGTAGAATTAAAACGAGTTTTTGCTCATAAATCGTCTGAAGAGGGTGGCGAGAGCGGCTTGCCTCTTTATTGGCTCCAACGTCGACATTGCGCTAATAAATGAAGCAGAAAACTTCTACGAGTGCTATGTAGTGCCGTTCGAGCGGAAGACATCAACCCCGCCGTTCGACCGAAAACTGTTTCTATTCCGTGAGGACTAAAGCTGAAATTTGGGCGCTGACAATTTTTATAGTCTCCTAATATTATCCCTCTCCTCTAACGAACACAAAGCGAAAGGGACAGCACGAACGTATTATGGGTTATGAAATGAACTCCGCAGCTTCATGTTACTCTGGTAAAGAAAATTAAATTATGACCGCCGCGTGCAAAGAAAACGCCATGACAAGTCCAATTCAACGATAAAAGTTGCCTCCGGAATCAAGAACGTTCTCGAATGTTTTCAATGCCTCAACTCTCAGCCCTCAGCGTTAAACAAATTAATCACCCTCTACTCACGGCGAGTGCTCGCGTAATGTTTATGTGGACTGTATGAAACTCGACGAGGGGTCTACGCTGCATATTTCAATTATAACAAAAAAGTATTTGTATGATTAAATGATTCCATAATAACCTTTACGACCATATTATTAAAGGCGCATATTGTTTCCCATTAACGTCGATAACTAGACAATAATCAGTGTCTATGGTTCAAGCATATTCCAATCATTATTGTAATTAAATTGAAAGCACGCTTTGATGTCCGCGATCACTGAGACATGCTTCGAATAATTGAGATTATTATTATTGATGACAATGTTAATATGATGTCTTAATAAATACTTCATGTTATTATTTGTCACTAATTAACCGATATTAGGTACACTTTTATTACTAGTAAGCAATAACCGAATATTGTCGACAAAAGAAATCTACTATGAAACATGTCATTGATATAATTCTTTATAAAATACTTACATCTTCTAGTTTCTAACAATACATTTTACATTAAAAATTATATACTTTTAAAAGCGATTGTTCACTCATTAATGTATATTCAGCTGTAATATGACCGATATATTCAAATGAATAGGAAACAATGCGTAGTAATTAAATCATGCCACAATTATAGCTTCAATAAAACAATAACACGAATAATTTCTGCTTAAATTATATATTTTTTATAGTGTAAAATATTAAAAACATTGCACTATCTCCCATTTTATTTGATGACATTTTGACGCGTCACTTTAGATTCCATTACAATATGTGCGAGTGAGAGAGACTTATTGGAAGGAGGGAGACGGAAGACAGCGTTCTGAAATACAGAAGCCATCATTTTTGTGTGTGCAAGGAAACGTATTTTAATATAAATTAACAACAGCTTTATGGAAATATGTAAAGAGATAAATTAATTTATTTGTACATATAAATAATGTAAACAGTTATATTGTGAAATTTATTATTTAAATATAACGGTAAACGTTGCTGTCACTTTAATAAATAATAGCCTTTTATTTTCAGCTTAATTTTTTTTTACCTACTACATTAAATATGTCCAAAATGTATGAAGAATTTAAATATTTTTGTAAAGTAGGTAATAGTTGGTCACCCTATTGCATGTCGTGTTGAGGTTAATAGCGCCATTTGTTGAAGATGTTATCTCGCATCGGACTTAGGCATACTTTTTTGTTTTAACATTCTTCATATTATATCCTTCTGTTTGAACATTAAAAATATTTATACAGTTAATAGTATTAAAAACAGATGCAAGACGTATTGTACGTAATAAACACATGTATAATGTATTTACTTGAATCAATATACAAATTAATTATGTATATAAATACAATAATTCTATATTTATATATAAAAATGTATTATTTAAATCATGTTCTAAAAATATAATCATTTAAATAGAATAAGGATTAAGAATATGAATACATTCAATATTATCCGATATTAGCTTGCTGATGAATAAATTTAATATAAAAAAAACAATAAAACATTATCATAATAAATAAATCATTTCGTATCATAAAATAATTATAATCGAATTCATTTATAACTATAATTAAAACAGCATTTATATCGAAATAATTGAAATGTTATTAAATCATTTCAATCACAAACTTTGAATAACCATTACATATTTGGTCATATTAAACGTGGTTAACAAATTAAATGAACATATCTAGATTAATTATTGTATAAACATCAATTTTATTTGACATAATTGTTTTAAATAGTATAATTAAACATTCAAAAGATTTGATGGGGATAAAAGTTAGGTATTAAGAAAGAAATTAAGGTTAGTTTGCAGCAACTAAAACTAACCGAAACGTCGGGATTATAAAGTTTTTTTTATATAATAAAACATCAGTACATAGTAATCCGAATAATATTAGTTTCATTTAAATGAATACTCGCGAAAATCTGAGATCTCATTATATAAATAGGTTGATAAAAAAATAATAATAGGTATAAATCTTTTTGCTACAAATCTCCTCCATATAAAATGTATCGTAAAGGAAAGATTCGGTGGGAATTCAACCGTTAACCACGATTAATCGACAAATAGCCGTCACCGGAGCCCCCGGGGGCTCTCGGAGGCTGTGTTAGCATCTTTAAGCCGTTTGTAATAAAGCAAGTAGGTATTTGAATACGAGCGGGGCGAGATTTGCATATGTAAATGACTTTCCGTCTTTATTTGGGCCGGCGAGTCGGATTCTACGTCCTCATGCAAATCAGGGCTTCGGTTATATAGACGAGAAAAAAATACGCCGTATCGAATGTTTAATTGAACGAATTGATTTGGTAAAACGAGTTGTGTAGATTATGTTATGATAGCTTTATGTTGTTTGGAATTTAATTTGATTATAAATAACATTTAATAAGGCGGTGCCTCAACAGCTTGCGAGACGACAGCTTGTGGGGGCTGGGGATAAAAAGTGCGGGCATAAAGCGTGGTTGGGATCGAGAGGAGCGCTTAGTGAGGCAGGCAGCCGTGCGTGTTCATAACGCATTACAGACACGGCGCGGTATCCATTACGTGATGGAAAAACAGCTCCAACGGGCTGTGTAATTGATTAACAGTTTGCGACTCCGCCAACCGCGGCGAGAGACTGCACCCTGCACCCTGCACGTCTTAATAAATACACCGCCCCTATCTAATGTAAAACTAGCACGACGAACGATCGTAATCATGCTTTTATAGCACTAAATTTGCATTGCATATTTATTGATATTAAATCAGCATAATTTTCATAAATGCCTGTATTTTATTGTATGTAAGACAGTCCGTCACATCCAACAATAAGAAGGTAAAGAATGAATAATTTGTACGATGAAATAGTCGTACCTTCCCGACAGTCTGTATCAATAATTCATGACGCGACGCGCCATTGAGAAAGTGCCCTGTGATCGCAATAATAATTATGCGAACTTTGAATAGACAATAATACGAGCGAAGTCAGAAATGTTTACTTGTTATATATTACAAATAGCATTGTTATTGTGAGTAAATCACTCGACAGTAAATCACGTCAGTTCTAACTAACAAACCAATTAAACAGAACATAGATTCGAAGTACAATAAACACAAGAAGTTACTACTGTAGTGTAGAATACTTTTATCAACTAGAATGTAACGAACACAAAACATGTGTTCAGTAATGTACGGCTTACGCGTTCACTGGATCGTGTCGCTATTTGGGTTTTATAGGGCTGTCGTCTTCGGCGTATAAAAACTACACGAAACACGTTCCCAATTATAAATACAGAAATAGACGGTTAACGTAAACAGGCAACCCTAATAGCCATTCGAGTGTATTAAAATTCCGATACCGGGAGCTCAGACGACTGATTTGTTTGTACATTATTTTTTTCTTCGATGACTTGTCGATGTATAAGTTTCTATAAACGTTTAAAAGTCCCGATGGAAAAAATATTGATGTCAAAGTGAAACAAAATGTGAATTGCTATTGAATAAATAGTTTCGAATCCAATATTTTAGATGTACGTTTAATGCATAGGAACAAGAACAGGTCTACAGGGACATCTATACTTTGCTCCCCGGCGTCTGTTAACCGCGGGGAGGGAGGGAGACGGGAGACTTCTCACCGGATGAGCCGTCCCCGGGAGTGCGAGCGAGACGTGTGTATTTCAACATTCGGTCTTCAAGATGGCAGACTTTTGCGGTTGATAGTTTATAGTTATTGCGAGTGTGTGCGAAGGCAGCTTTATCACATTGTTAGCGTTGTTATCCACGTCCAGGGGATTAAGAGCAGATCACACGAGCTATGGCTTCATATAATGCTCTTAACACTATCAGATCACGATTTATTTAATAACTATTACATTTATGGAATTACATACTAAATATATAAATTACGGTAATATATGTAATACAACTCTTAAAGATATTCCTTTGTAACGCAACAGCGAAGTCTAATAAATGTAAACCTCAATAAAGTATAAAGTTAGGGCGTTTATCGGATTATATTAAGGGTCGGTAGCAATATATTATTTTATAGTTAATTGTTTCATTTCGTGTTTCGAATTACAGCGACATTAAACTTCAGGAACACGGAGTCTTTAAATATACCTCATTCCGACGACTTCAAAGAAATGTCTCATGGGAAAATAAATCTCAGCGGATTAAAGTAGATATTATATGGTTTCTTTGAAAATATTATTATTATTTATTCCAATTACTAGGTCTCAGAAATCTTAACGAAAATCAAATTGATTATATTTATGATGCACACAATACAGGTGTTGAGATTGCTTTTTAGATTTCTATGAGGTACGAGTGGGGTTTGTTTGAGGTGAGGTTTGGGACAGGATGGTCCGTAAAATGGGTATAAGAGCTGTGTTGAGCCAATTTGACGAGACCGGAAGCCCCGGTGCTCACAAAGCTAAGGAAATAAGCGGGTGCGGACACGACGTAAATCGTAGGGTGAGAAGAATTACTAATACTGATTTACGAACACCCTCCCCATTGTGAGTGATGGATGTATTGTTACTGTTACATAAAACGACGTCTTAAAAGTCCGCACTTAGATATTGTTATATTTCATATAAAAAAAGCTAAAAGATAAACTTAGTTTTGTCTATATCATATCTATGTATCAAATCTATGTAGAATCTACGTATCTATTTATCTATATCTCTATCTACTCGGTCTATAAATTCTATCAATAAATAAAAAGTATCAGCGAACCGAGTATCAGTAGAGTGTGTACCAGGATAACAGATTTAACATGGAGTACTCGGAACGAACACACGCTCGTTCGAAATAGCCCCCACACAAAGGAATCGCAGGCACGTGACTTGAAAATGGAATCTATTGGATTATTGTTACGATTTATCAATAGTGAAGGAGGTTCAGAAGTGGACAACGCTGGCAATACTTTACTTACGGTAACAGTAATAATTTAGATATATGTATTACGGTGTGAATAAAAAATACAGCTTTAATTATTCTCATATATAGCTGTTCTTGTAACTAAGTTGTCTCTTTCGCTATCTTAAACATCTGATAGCCATTTAAAACTGAGACTTTTAAGATACTCAATAACCATTAATATATTGAAGAACATAAATCAAAATAATAGATTCATAACATTATAATATAAGACATAAAGAACTTCAGAGAATTAATTGGAATAAAATAAATTTGTAAGAAAATATCAAAGAATTGAATATATTTTTATAGATGTAAAATGCAGACATTGAAGGAAAATTGAAATGATGTTCAATCGTAAGATATTTAGATCATATGAAATGAATATGGAACTAAAAAAAAATAATACTTATTGGTCGTTGAAGTTGCTTGATGTATAAAATATGCATAATTTTTGTTCTTCAACCTAAATATGCAATTTTTATAAAAACTTTCTAAATTATCATGAAAACAGATTTAATATCTCAATTTACGTTACACATTGTGAACTCTTGCTAAGAAAGCAACTGAGAAATATTGGAACCTTGGCGCTTTGTCAAAAATATCGTTTTAAAAAGTATGAGAGTCCAACAGAATAACAAACAAATAAAATGTCTATTTTCTGCTTTATTTGAGATATTTTTAACCTTCTGATCTTATACAGTTTAAAGGTTCATCGCACGATCAGTGAATCAATATTGTATATTAAGAAAATGAACAAATTATAACATATATAATATATACATATATTATTATTAAATATTCAAAGTCACATCTTCACGACAGTCAGTTATCAAAGACAAGGGATTGTTCGAGTCAAGCCGACGCCCGACGAGAACCGCCTTCCGTTACGATTCAATTAAAACTTTTATTAATTTGGCAAAGAAAATACTAAACTTCTAGACAGTGTTACGAATCTTAACGAAATTACTTAATGTAATGTACAATGGGACTTCGCTACCAAACGAATTATAACATCGAAATATTACTTACGACTAAAACATGTCGGATATACATTACAGCGCTCAGTGGGCTCGGCTTACATTAATATTAAAATCCAAGGCTTTCACGATAAAAATATATATAAAATTTACATATTTATCATCAAAAAGCACTTTGATGTATGAAGTATTCATTAGCTGAATGGTAGGTGCTCTACATATAGTTCCGTAGCAATCAAAAATAGAGCAGACTATTAATAACGAGCAGTCGGCGATTAGTCAGGAGTGGGGACATCGTAATTAGTGGCACGTTTGTACAACCAGCCGGCCGGCTTACACGGCCGTACAGTACACGCTCACCACGCTCACATACCTCAATTATTAAGTTATTTATATTACGTAAAAAGCGAACCGACTGCCATTCATATCCAAATACACGGTCGCTAATAGCTTCTCAGTGTTTATGTCTCCCTAGTAATTTAGATTAATGAACGCTCGCCAACGTTAAAAAAATAAATTCTAACAAATGTCTAGATGGAGACGTCAGCATCTATAAGAACGATCGCTGTATGGAGTAGATGAGATGAGAGTCATTGAAAACAAACAGTGGCGAAGTGAAATTACATCACAAGGCATCTGTGCGGCGGCGGAGCGTTCGTTGGCAAATTGCCGCATTAAAATTTTAAAGCAGTATTATAAACGCTTTTGCTTTGTTGAAGTTTACGGTGCTTCATAAAACGTGTAAACGATGTACTCCGACTGTACATCCTCTTCATACAATGTTGTCATAGCACTGAAATGTATTAAAGTTTATGTTGCGAACGCGCCTTTTGAAAATGCTTTTCTAAATAGGTTTCAGTTTTTATGTGGCATTTAATCATCAAAGCGTAACTTGAAACGAACTCGTTTTAAATGGATTATAGAAAATACGGATAGAAGGAAAATAACAGTTTCGTTAAGCAGACATGTCATCTCATCATTTGTTTGTGTAGATATAATCTTGAGTAAATTTTACACGAGACCTTATTGCTAATTTATAATAACATATACGAGAAATGTGACGAAAACGGATAACTCGAACCTAATATGAGGTTTTCCTTCTAAACCTCAAACGTTAGATATTCCCACAGTTGGCGAACAGTAGTTTTAGTGTCACGAGCGTAGTAATCAAAGAGTGGTTACGTCCACGAACCTCTAGCAATTTCCTGATTTCCTGGTACCTTAATCGTTGAAACGCAAGTCTTTATCCTGTGTGGAATAGAGGCGATATTGTGTTTCACACGCCCTTACCGCCGAAGCTATATCTGTTGTAATATCGTCCCTATTTCTTTATACATAAGAGCTGTATATAATACTTTATGTAAACTAATAAAATGGCCTCCCCGACAGGTTCGCCTCCGCTTTTAACGTGTCTACAAACGCTTGCACACATCCTGTCCTATTGTTATTTGACTGGTCTTTAAGATTTTTTTTTCACAAATTAATTCCGTTCCGACGGAATACATTCGAGTTATTATAAATAATTCATGTCTGATGTCCTTAAATATATGAATGAAATATTATTATTGTATAAGCAATTTGAATGTTCGTAGAGCAATTACATGAATAAGATCGACTTTGGCTGTCTTAGAATTTATCGCAAAAAATAGACAACAATAAAATCAAAGCGATCCTATCAACAAAATGAATTAATAAACTAACTATAAAATTTATATAATTGCGTATTTTATAACAGAATTGGCTATAGTAACATATTAATTATCTACAAAAATGAATAATGGATTCTGTAATCAGAGACAAAGGTTAAATAAAACTTTACTAGTAATTAAAAATACGTGTACTACATAAATAATAAATATACATACATATTTTATACCATATTATTATATATTAATATGTCACATTATCGATCCTTGTCACATTCGAGACGTTCTTAACTAAAGTCAATCTTAAACATTTATGTAAATTCATTTTAAAATTACGAATATTTTAGTTTATATATAAAATAAATTATTGTCAAGATTGATTTTGAATGAAGAAAATATATATAAATCCTTATAACAAAATATTTCTGGGATAAATTTGTGTTTGTCATTAAAGAAACGGGTGATATTATATGAATTAAAATATTGTTTAAATTTATTCATAATATTGAGAAGTGAAGACTTCCGTATCAACGCGGAATTTGTTATGAATAAATCAATGAGAATTACGAACTTAGTAAAATATGCTGATGGGTTCAGACTTATATGTTTTAAAATTAAATTAATTGCTTCACACGACAGAATGAACAAAATACACACAAAAATACTTTAAAGGATTCTTTCATGAAACTAGTTAAGTGTTTAAAGGAATTTCCACATGAATCTTGGATCAGATTTTAAAATGAAAATTTACAATGAACAAAACTCAAAGAATCGTAGAAGTAATTTAAACATCTTTGTATGTATATGTATGTATGTAACATATATGTATGTATGTTAATAATGTTAATATATTATGGCATTGTCACGGCCACTGAAGATGGCACCATAAAAATATAATGCCATAGTCAGTTTTTGTTAACTTTGCTTTATCCCATAGACGTCAAACTCACCCTCCATAAAGTTCAGCGTCTTACCTGCAAAGATAAAAACAGTTAGTCTCATAGAAATAATATTAAAACAAAAATTAGGAATATAGTATAAAGAGTATAAGTAAATTTAATATGAATTAAAGTAAAACATCTTATTATGAATAAATTAATATGATATAAAAGTTCTGTGTACAATAATGAAGTATTCATATGATCCGCGTTTACAAGAGGGATCAGACTGTTTTGTTTGAACACAGTGAATCCAACTGTAAAGTGAGCGTGGCTAAAATCGATTTTGCTGTATTCGAAGTGAACCGAGCTCTGTATTCGTGTATTCGTACAATCTCCGCACTCCTGTATTCGACCGTGAACAATCTAAAACTCTGAACGGCTGAGAGCACTAGATAGAGAATCCCATTTGTATTGAAACCGTGTAGTTGGATTTAAAAACTTTACCTATACAAATTTCATGTGTATCCATTGTTTTATTAGTTAAAAAACAAATTTTAATCGATTATTTATCATATTAAGTTAACAATCCGCAGCTTTCTAGGAATACGAATAAAAAAGAAATATAAATGCGAGAAGTCTTCTCAAGCGTAATAATAAAACCCCTGTACATGAATATAAGCGACAAATGTTCGGTCGGAGTACTCGTCGCTTTGCTTTTGTCTCCGGTCCCCCGACTCTCGCAAATGTCTTTACGAGTGCCAATAATTCACCGCGGAATTTAGAAGGAAAAACTCATCACGAGACACTTAACCGCTAGCATTGTTCTGAATAGGCAACGCATTGTGACCGATACAATAAAATACATTTGAATTAAATAGACGTTAACCGAAATTTGCTTCTTTGTATGATTTTCAGTCTTTTATCTCAAATAAAACTTCAATAAGCAATGAATTATTCATAATTTACTAATAAAGTTTTTTATATATAATATATAGGTATATTTATTATATAAGTATATTTATAAATCGAATCAAACGAATAAATACAATCGAAAAAATTGATTAAGTAAGTAAGTGTTCGTGGAAGGAATGAAGGCGGAAGCTGTAAATTGATGACACATCGAAAGTTTCAATTTTGTACAAAGAGGTACCAGGAGAGCATCAATGAGGAGGACATCGAGTGAGACGAACAATTACAGCGGCGAGGCGCCTCAACACTCATTTACGATATAACGGCCGGCGGTTGTCTACATTGTTTGAATCTTTCAACGCAGGCCACTGACTATTAAATATAGATTTTGATTTTTATCCACATCAAAATCACTTGGTTCTAATTTTTTTCTTGTAATGTATAATTCTCATGTCGTTGAATTATTAAATAATGTTTTAAAACAACAAATGTGAAGAAAAAATACCTAATGGAATACTAACGTCTTACTTTACACGAGTATGACACATTAAATATTCTTTACACGAATGACATGTCTATAACTCTAAATACAATCGATAAATATTCATTTACCGAGATTAATATATAAGAGAAATATTTTTATTGTTTTAAACAACTTATAATATTTAATAGTCACGTAATTTATCGTGTTTAGCAACATAATTAAAATATATTGACTTATAAAGAGTTATAAAATAATACACTTAAAATATGATTATGGAAAGGTAATAACCGTATAAGATGCAAAGTCGAATATAATAATGAAACATTAGCTGAAAATTCATTAAATAAACCGCAAAACTGAAGCAATAAATCCATCAAGAGCAAAGTAAAGTTATTGCGAACAAGTAAGTGTATGCGAACAAAGTATTTGCGAGTGAAACCTTAAGTAAGCCATTATAATAAGTACTCGAGTCATGTTAACAAGACAAACAAGATCAACACTTGACCGCGATCCCGTACTAAATAACGAATAGGCTCTATTCCTTTGGCAGTAGAGGCCATATTACAGAGGTGGACTCCACGTTTCCAACACTGCGGAAAATTGGTTACAACTACCAGGAAAACATAAAATACACGGATAAATATTTGATAGCTACTTTCAGTTTTTAACTCTCATACATTTCATTGGGCGTTACGTAATCGTTCCAACTATAAATATTATGATCTGCAGCTAAAAGTATTTGTTTTACGATCAAATTAGCGAATAGCTTAACGTTTGCCAAGCATTTTGAAAGAAATATTTATGTGATGATCATTTTATTAAGATATTCGACGACTGCTTCTTATTCCATTTGAATTATTCTTTTAAATAATATTTGTAATTTGTATGAAGGTGTTGTTACACAATTCATTTACTTCTAACATGTATGTGATGTTGTATTCTTTATGTTCTGGTTACTTCATTGTAATTTAGTGGCATGTAAAGTCAGTTTCGAACAATCGTCATGCCTTATATAGTTTGTAATGGTGTCACGCGATGTAACATGTCAGTGTGCGGTTGCCTCATCTCGAAGGATACTTTATAACGTTATTAGTTATTATCTGAAAGAGCATACATTTGCACAGCACACGAATCATAAATAAAAGAGGTTCATGTTAAACAGTCGTTATAATATTTTATTGCTGCATACATATATTTTTTCGTATTTTATCTGTGTTGAAACAGCGTTAAAGTAGTAAATGACACGCGACAAATTCAAAACTAAAACAAATATATTTTCCGTTGTATTTATCTGTGCCGAGTATCGTCTCTTCGCTGCGACTTCAAGGCTAAGAGTAATTTATCAATCTGGGTCCGTTCCGTCGAACAAAAAGCGACATAACATTTCGCGATGAGGTTCCGTCTGAAGCCGGCTCGTACCGAACGAGTCGTGAAGCATGCACTCGGCATTTTCATTAAAGAAGCCGTCTCATTATAGACGGCCGCCCTCTCCGTCCTCGCCATCCTCGCGGTTCATGGAGCCCCGGTGGCAATTATCGCGGTACGAAACTTTATTCAATTCGTTGTCGCCCGCTGGCTGCGCCCGAGGAAATCATTCCCACAGTGGATTCCGCTTCATTTGATACTAGTACGATACTGCTCGCGCTCCTGCTCCCCTGGTACTACTCCGCGACAATTCTACAATTGCTTAGTTAGAGATTAATTTTATTTAATTTAGCTGCTCGCTCTCTCCTCTTGTATTCTTCTACAGAGCAATGAATTCGAGCGATAAATATTACGTACCGGAGGCGAGTGTTAACAGAATGGAAACTACAAAGTAAAATAGGACACAGAAAAGAATTTTAAATAATATGTAGCATTCCTACACCACTCATATAGAATAAAAGAGTTTTGGAAAAATAAACTTGCATTTTACGTCGGAAAATGCAACGTGCTGTGTTCTTTTGTTACTCGACGTTCTGAGCTCAGCTTTGTTATTTTATATTTTAACTGCGTGTGTGTTTTGGATTCATTTGTTTCAATTCTTTCAAAATCAACACATTCTTTATATATTTATCCTTTGTTTTTTTATTCGACTTAGTTCTAAAGAGATGGTATTTCAAACAAACAAAAACCGGCGAGCGAGCCGTCCGTCACGTCGGAATTTTTATCGTCTCAATTATAATACCGAGCGCAATGTGAAAAAAATTACCAGGAGATCATAAGATAATAAGATGTATCGAATGAGTTACAAGTCAGAGATGGCATAAACATCATTCCACGCGGTGGCATTCGTGTATTTTTAATTAGATATATACGGCAGTTGTGTCCGTACATAAATAAGCAATAAAGAAGCGCTCGCACGAACTGAACGGTTTATTTCAGACGAATTTATCTGATAGCCCGCGTCACACTTAGCGCTGCAAAGATAATAATAAATGAGAAATTTCACATACTTACATGATTATGAATATCGAGATATACTATCTGTTTTAAAATCAGTCGCTATGATGAATATTTGAGCGCATTAATTGTCAAATGGTCCGTTAATAAGCTTCAGAATATGTAATAACCGCGAATGTTTATCATAAATTATCTATTTATAAATGTTTAAATAATATTAATCGTTACATTTCATATTCAGAATGTGAATATGTTGTTTTAGAGAGCGTCTTATAAAAGAACGTGCACACGCTCTAAGAGGAATTTATTTATGAACAGCTTACGAGCAAAACAGTGGGACATTTTATGTAAATATTTACTTAATTATGGATAAGAAAAAGCTATGTAATAGATTAACATGTACTATGTCTGTTTATGTACATATAATTGTATTATATTTCCATAACAATTAAATATGTCAACATTCTATAATAATAAATAATGAACGTTATTAAATCCGTTATACACGTTTCCAAGAAAGTGTATAAGTTACTTAATAATTGTAGGTTGGCAGTTTGTCAGATGACCGAATGAGTTTGGATTTCAGCCACGGATTAAACGTAATACATCACTATCAACACAAATTGCTTCGGCAAACTGGTAACGAGATATTTAAGTTGAATTAAATCCTATTATAACATTACATTATATTAGAAATTACCTACATTTATTATGCATATTAATAAGTAATATAAAAACTTCTTTGTGTGATTTTTTTATAATATCACGCTCCGTACAATCCAGTCTGTTATGTAAAATATCTTTTGTGTATACCAAAAGAAGTTACTGTAAAGAAATAACAAACAAATAATCCCATTTATAACGGTGTGAAAGATTTAAATTTGAAACGAACAGTTAATAAATCATTTGTCACGAACGTTATTTGAACACAAAAATAACAAACGCGGTGTCTTAGAGAAGTCAAACATTATACAGAGATTCAGAATGTTTTTTAAGATAATTAATTTTGAACAAGAGTTACTATGTTTTATTACGTGGCTTATTGAATGTACAACATGATTTATATCAAAACTCTTATGCTATTCAAATAAAAATCTATATTTTGAATGTATTAAATAAACATATTTAACTAACTTAACGATATTGGAAATAAATTACGAATTAATATTATATAGTTTAAAGAGAACGTCCACAGCTATCGAAGTGTTGAAATCAAATGCACTCTAAAAGATAAATAAAGGAGACCAACTTTAAATCTGTTGTCGTGTTTCAAAAATACGCTCCGTTCAAACATTTACCCACGCTCTGGGACACAATAAAATAAAATATCAAATAAACGGCCGTCCGCCGCGCGCTAGGGCCGGGATAACGCGCGTACATAAAACAACACATTACCTTTTATACTTATAACTCGTATTCAATTTACGGTATTCAATTATTGAAATCGAAAACATATTATCTCCATAACAATATAGTCTGATCATTTATATATTATTATAATATATGAAATTATTTATTTCTTTTGGTTTCACGGTTTGAAAATGCGTAATAACATTTTATTTTAACAGAATCCTCCACAAAATTTATTTATGTCCCCAAATAAAAATTTGATGACAAGAAATTTATTAAATTTTCAAATTATTGTCGGTGTTGCGACGTAACCCTCGCTGCAAAAAAAGGATTTGACAACGTAAGTCTGAACGAGCAACGATCCGAGAATCAGTGCTGTAGTACCAGGGGAGCAGAACACAGCAGAAAGTGGCCGTAATATGAACAGCATACATACGGTGAGGAAAACCGACGCCCGGTGGAATCGATACGGGGCCGCCCCCACCGAGGGGATGGATTTAAATTATTCACAGCGGGTACAACTGCGTGCTGCCGTCTTTGACAAACAAATTACGTATGCGACTCTAATAACGCGATACACCAGCCTCTACAGCCCAGATACCAGCCATTCAATTATAAACGGGGATAAATGACGCGGCTCTGAACTCCGACCGAGCGACCCACCTCACACGACCTATTACATTACTGATATCTGCTAGCCGTGTCCCCGTTCAGCTAATTACGACAGGGATGCTATAATTACATTAGATAATGAACCTTCAAACATACGGCACACATTAAGGTTGTGGAATTGTTTAAAACATGCACACCTCCGAGACGGTTGTGGATAACATAATAGAAGTAGATAGATATTATTAACACACAGAAATAAAAAGAAAAAAGAAGAAGGCGCTCTACAAAAGAAAAATCAAGAAATCCTTTGAAAGGTTTATGAAGATGCAAGCGATGCTTTGCTCTTTCATCTGGCCTAAACGTCGTCAGTAAGTAAGAAAGATGGGGAGAGTTACGTCAAAGAGATTGAATATCGATTGTGGAGACGACAGCTATCTGAGTGCGGGGAGGGAGGGAGCTGCCAGGATTTATGTTATTGGCACACGGAGCTGGCTGAGGCGATACGGGCCACGGGACTCACGAGGTTGATAGCTGGACCACAGGATGCCGGGGAATTAAAGCGGAGTGATTGATTGGACGGCGATAACGATTACGGTCACGGATATCGGAGCCCGTGAAAAACCGGAGGGCGGTGGAAACACGCCATTAAATAAATGCGGGCCGTAAACACTCCGTTACGAACGAATCGCACTGATACGTCCGCTTTAAACGAAAATAAAAACACGCATGCCGTTCGAACATTCGCTTCTAGATTGAGCCGCAAGATCAACAAATAAATTATAATCCGCCACTCGAGCATTTCCGGCGGCAAAAACTCGCTCGACACGACACATGGGCGCTGAAAAAAAAGTTAAGTTATTATCTTAAGTCGAACCCAACAGAACCCATTAGTAAACAACACGAACACAAAGGAGGGCAAAATAGCGGCTTACAGAAAATAAAAAAAGATAACAAAAAATCGGCTTTTGATCCTCGTCTCCCCTTCTGCATCTGTGAAGGTTTTATTAGTCTGCAGACTAGTTGAGCAAACCATTTGTTCATTTTATGGGGATTAGATTTTTATATTTTTTATAAAGTGTGCACTAAGGCTTTAAATAAATAGGAAAAAAAACGTAAAAGCTATGAAATTATGCTCAACTAGCGATTACAATCAGTAAAATAATTTACAATCAAAATAAAACTACTATATCCGACGTTGTTACTGTTATCATAAAAATTTTACAACGTCGACTTCTTGTAGTCATTACGGAATGCCAGTTTCACGAATGAAATTGCTAAGTCTGAGGTTCTTAAAGCGTTTACTGGTAATAACATCGTGTTTATATATTTGGCGAACGTTTACCGAGACAAATCTGCTCTCGGCAAAACTTTCCAATCCAACAAAGAGACGGCCAGGTACACGCCAGCTGCGGATTATACTCTCGGCCAACCGATCGGCCGACCGGTCGCCCGACAGATCCAGCTCTCATAGAGCAGCCGGACCGAACCCCCGACCCGGTCCGGGACACGAACACGGAGCAACTTAAATGGGTTTATGACAACTGAGACGCCGGAATTTATTGTTAAGATACCAATGGTACGTGTTACTCGACGAAACATCCGAACGTCTTAATACGAATGAATAATAGTAGCGCTAAATAAACACCGAACTGATTGTACGGCCGTACGATCGTTGGTTCGCGAACCGTTAACTGACTAACTGTAAACGTGATGTATATCGATGTCGACGTTAAAGGAATCACTCGGCTAACAATCGAGCCAATTAATGACTATTTAATTCGCAATCCGGCTGCTGATTTATTATAGTTTCGATCGTTCGTGACATAATGAACGAGTAGCTAACAAACCGCGGAGGTATAATGCGAAACGGAAATAATAATGGCGTCTGTTAGAGCGCGGGCTGTCGACGCCGCGGGCCTCGCCCGGTCTCACATTCTAATTACAACAGTAATTACCCGCACAGTAGTCAACTCGACAGCTGCCGCTATCTCCTTGTATCTTCAGCTCTCCTGGTACTTTAATACAAATAAATACGAAAAAGTTTTTATTTCATCCAATTAACGAAGTTATTTGAACTACATGGGCCGGTTTGTATAATAAATTATTATTTAAACGTGAAATTGACAGACACGTTATTTAAATTAAATTAACAAGTATTTGTTCGAAGCGTTAACGGGTTTAGTTTATATAGTAACATTTATTTATATTATCAGAGTGGAGCTATAATGAATTCAAAACAGATGTCATAATCGCAGTTATTGTTATCGCCGTAGTATAAATGAGATAACCCTTACACCGGGGCGATTTATTTTATTACAACGTCAATCAATTATTATAGATACTTTATTAAAATTTTAATACTCAAAGAGCTTTCGCTTTCGGTGGAGGCAATAACGTTTTTGTGAAATGAACGATGATACGCCCGGAGCAAGTAACGCGATACGTCCGTTGTGGGATATAAATAAAGTCGTTGAAGCGAAAAATTCATCTGAATTAATCACTCATGTCAGCATCGCTGTGCAAAAATAATATCCTCTTTGTTCGATATTATACCATTCAGCCATTTAAATGGCTGAATATTTTGAACTGTTTAATTATTTCAAATATGGAACGAATATAATAGAATTTGGTTCGTATAAAGTGTTGGTTGTGAGAGTGTAATATTGAAATATGTAGTATTTATTAGTATATAAATTGAATGTCCGCAATCACAGCGACCAGTCGGCAGTCGGACCGTCGAGAACACATCAACAGCAATCAGAATGTAAATTTATTCAGATCGATCGCATAAACGAGCCGGCCATATTAACCTCATTCAAAATATACATGTTTCCAATTATGTTGTAATATATAACTTATTAATTTGTCACGATGTCATTCGCTATCAGTGAGGTTTTAGACGATTGTATTGTAGGTATATGATTAACACGTAACGTTTTTATATGATTTGTCGTTTGATTTTTATAAATAAACTGATATGTTATTTCCCTCGTAACTATAATTCTTAACGTCCAAATGGATCCCTATTTTTCGCTTGCGTGATAACAGGAAATTATTTTCGGAATGAAAAGAATTTGAAACATCTATTTCCCGCGTGTATTCTCTTTTTATCCTAAATTGAATGCTACGGAAAATAATATTAGTTTGGTAATTTTTATTAAGCTGTACGAGACATGTGCTATAGTATTGTTATTTATCCTCAATGGTAACTAACTTCTTATAGTATACCTTATACAAGGCACGTCAATGCCATCAGTCGGATGAGGTGCTGAATTTTACATTGATATCGTCTTTAATTATCACGCCATCTTAGACAAAGTTTTCCAGTTAGAGGGAGGTTAAATTGATTCCGTGAGCACTTTAGAAATTTTTAGAACCCTTGACAGTGATTAATGAAAGGAATTTCGGAGATGTGTTCGCTCCCCTCGACTTAAAGGGAGGGATCTCGAGCTATATACAGAAAGCAATTTACTATAATAAAATATGGTTACAATATCTCATTGGCCGAGCAGCTGCCGAGTTGTAATTTAATGCGGTTTAAGCGCTATGAGACCGCGAGCTGCACTTGGGATTCACGACTATGAAAGAACATCAGCTCTTTGATTAACGACGTGGAGCGAACACTGCAGCAGGTGTGTGTTCATTTGAACAGTTCCTACCGCCCGCCGCCGCCGCTACTACTCACCGAGATAGATTTAACTCTCATTACATTCTATACAAAGACATCGCCTCACTAACGCCTCGATCATTAACGGTGCCAGTGAAATAGAGCGAATTAGTAATATAGATTAGGAGATAAGTAACACCGGCCACAATCGCATTAATTTGTAAAGAGCAAGTGGTAGGGGGCGAGGGAGGGTGGCGGTGATTTAATGAACCGCTGCGGCGGGCGACAGCGTGGATTACACCCCGCCGTTTGCACTCAATCAAGCTCGCAAACACCCCTAAGCTCCGACAATTAAATACACTCCGAAACAATCAGATACAAGCTTGATAAGAGCAATCGGACAATTAGCTGTTACTGTAATAGACAAATATAAAGATAGACGGCGGTGAGTGGCGCGCTAGAGAGACGAGATACGTGTACATAGAGTGGGCTGTGGGGATAAGATGACGACGCGGAGGAGATACTGGACCTGATGTTATCAGACGAGTATGAACGTATCATGATCGAGGTTACATTACACGGGAGCGGTCCTATCAACATGTTTAATATGAACGTGAAGTCGGTCTGAAAGAACATTAACAGTACCGTCCAAGTACAAGTGAAGTGACGATGTGTATATTGATAAAGTATGTGTACCTTAGGTTCAGTTTTTTGTTTCTTGGTCGGCGGCTGACTGCTGTGCTCCTGCCGGGAGTCGTCGGGTTCAGGCTTGGCCGACAGCGCGGGGGCCGGCGCGGGCGAGGGGGGCGGAGCGGGCGCCGGCGTGGAGGGCGCGGCGGGCGCGGCCGCGGGGGACGCCGAGGGCTTGGGTTCGAGTCTCGGCGCGGCCGGGCGCTGCTCGGGCTTGGGTTGCGCCGGCGACGAGTGCGTCGCGTGCGGCGGGTGCGTCGCGTGCGCGGCGGCCGAGGGCAGCGCGGCCGGCGGCGGCGCGGGCGGGCCCGGCGCGTTGGGCGGCGGCGGCACCCTGGGCACCCCGTTCACGTCGTGCGGGGGGTGCGGGTGAGGGTGCGCGTGAGGGTGGTGGTGCTTGTCGCGCGCCTTGTCCCGCCGGTGGCCGCCGGAGCCCCTCTTGGCGGCGGGCGCGGCGGCCGCGGCGGGCGTCTTCGCGTCCCCGTTGACCTCGTTGGACTTGACGATCTCGTGCTTGGCCTCGGAGCTCTTGGTGCCGGGCTTGGTGCGCTTGATCTTCATCTTGAGCGCGGTGCGCTGCGCGTCCGGCTCGGCGCGCGCCGCCATGCCGCCCGCCTCGTCCGCCTCGTCCGTCTTCTCTATGTCGGCATCTAGGTCTATGATGAGGTCTCCTATGCCGATGTCCCACTCGTTGTCATCGTACTCGAAGTTGGCGTGGTGCGCGTGGTGCGAGGGGTGCGCGTGGTGCGCGGGGGGCGCGGGGCGAGCTCCGCCGGCCGGCGCGCCCTCCCTCATTGGCGCCGCCATGCGCGCCGGCTGCCCGCGCCCGCCCCCCGCAGCCCCGCACACACACACACCATTGTAGCCCTGCACACATACAAATATATTTAATGAATGGCCTTATATTACATCTTACGACAGGTCCTTATCAATATAGGAAACTTAAAACTCCTAAATTATAAAAAGCTAAGACGATGTATAAAATGGAACGAATTTAGTTGAAGAAAATACTAATAAACTTTTTTTCAGAATAAATATAATAATATAAGATAAGCCCATCTTTAAAATATATTAATTCTCAATAGTATCAGCCGAGAATAAATTAATTCCATTCAGTTGCCGTGTCATCAAAGTCAATATATCAAAATAGATTATAATTAGGTTCACAAGAATTCCAAACTACATATCTTAAATGTTAAACAAATCTAACTGAAAACGTTTTCAGAATTATAAACCGTTAATGAAATTCAAAATGGAATCTACAAGTCAAAATGAATTAAACATCTTACAACGATACGCGAAGATAACAAGAGGAATCATTTATAAAGAACACCTAAGGTTAACAAAGTTTAACCTACGTTTGATTTTAAAATTCTAATATTTGTGACACGAAGTTTACAAGTAAAATTACTCCAATAATTCATTTTTCTTGGTATTAACTCAATTTAATGCTAACAAGATTGCAGATATACTAAAGTGTCCAACTTTACTTCATGCTATGAATCTCTTTGAGTTTTATGCGAGCCTGGTAGTTGTACTAAAATATGTATATCTGTAATTTTAATTATGCAACCATGATTATCGCGTCAATGGACTTCAAGCCCCATAGAATAATTACAAAGGGCTCATGGTTTATTGCAACACGTCTGTGGTGGTTTGGTGGCCGTGTTTGTGGTTACATCAACACTAATTTACAATCGCTCTTATGCAAATCGACGTAGTCACGACGCGAGTCACGAATAACGCTGTAACATAAAGACGAACTGACGAAAAAAATGTTAATTGTTGGCACTCAAAAGATTTTAATGAAAGTTGAAACCATATTATTTGTGAATCAGAATCAGGGCAATTTTAATATAACAAACTTAAGAGAAGACCAAATATTTCATCAATCGACAAAAACAAGGGTTATTAATATAAAATGCCTCCATCAAATAAGTTCGCATACTTTTCCAGGAAAAAAAAACAAACGAAAACATTTTCACAGTTAATAATCTTAACGTTTGCCAGAATACAGTTAAACCTTACACAATAACAGATCATATTTATAAAAAAGCAAATAAAGAATAAAAGATCAACATATTAACTGGAAAACTAAAACTAAACATCCCTAAACCGAGTATAATTCCCCAGCGTTACCATCATTAATTAAGTATCCTCTAATTGGTTTGGAAATATCGCGTTAAAAACAAAAAGCGATTGGATATAATTAACTTGTTAAGTAAATAATCGAAGCGCAACGAGAACCGACTAATAGCTCATTTGACGTTTACACGAGTCTATTTAAGGATAAAATATTATATTTTATTGTTAAAAATAACTTGTTTTCATTATCATGCCATAAAATACAAGATTTGTTTTAAAAAAAGAAATAATTATGAACGACTAACTAAAAGGGAATAAATTGCAATTTATTTAAATTTGGAACACACAAATCTTCAATCGTCATTATGTAACAGTTTTCTATAAAATTGATTAGAAGTGTCTCTGTCATACCTTACATGTATACGTATGTATAAATCAAATTACAAAGCCTTTGTGATTTCAAAATGGCTGTGTTTTCTCAAGCTTTTGCTCCTTCTCGAACCTTCCTGTTTGTTGAGGGTAATCTTCGGAACGACTGAGCGGATTTTAATGGGACTTTCAAGGTATGATAGATGAGTTTGTGGACTTAATATATGTTGACAATTTACCTTTAAATACTTAGAGTAAAAAGTAACCTGTTTATAAAGAGCAATGTAGATACTATATACTATAACCGAATAACAACACTGATAAGTATAATTATTAATATTAAATTTGTATTAGGTATATCCAAAACTGTATAGAACTGTAAAAAAGACGCTTCTAATTAGATTCAAAGAATTAAATTAAATTAAAGATTTTAAATATAACTAAAAACTTTTTATGCGAAATGTCAAAAATCGAAAATCTAACAAAAAATTTAAAAAAATATCGACTAAAATAGATAAAGATTGATTGATATTTATAATATCTATTTGATGCTTTCAAAACGTGACCAACCGATTATGACTTATAGAACAAAATTGATCTCAATCATGTACTGATAACTAAAATAAATAAAAAAGTATATATAGTATCTTTAAATTTTAATACAGTTATAAATAATTATATAACTGGCATAATTTTAATGGCATTGAACATCAAATATTTATACAGACAACATCGTTATCGCTCTGTTTGTTCGTAAATATTATAATTTGTCCGTAGCATAAATAAGACAAGAAAATAATAATATAACAGTACATAAATAAAAAGATTTTAAATTTAAATCAAGACAATGATTGATGTATTTAATGCCTATTCGTGTTGTGTAAGACGGTGAAATCTTGTCAAATTGTTGTAAATGATAATGTCAACGTAATTCTATAAAATGAATGGGCTTAGTTATGAGCTGCGGTCGCTGTCACAATTCGTCACGCTAACAAATAAAGCGTCAATAAATCATACATAAGCAATATGCGACGTATCACAACATAAAAAGGTATACGACAAACGAAATATTTTCATACAACGTCATTTAAAAACGCAATAACGCCACTCATATCTCGAAAAACTCGATAATAAAATTTAATCTGCGTACTATTAATAAAGCATTACGTTTTTAATTCTAATATATTCTGAATGTAGCCGAACGGATCCAATATAAAATCATTTCTATTAATCGTACAGACATTCACAAAAAATTACAAAGATTCAGCTATTATTGATGACTGGCAACGTTTAAATAACGATAGAATTGAACGAGAAATTCAAAGGAAAGTGCCGTGGATAAATCGCAGCGGAATCCATTATATCCGAAGCCGTATGTTTGTCAATAGCCTGCTGATTGGGGCTCCTCGACGCGCTGCGAGCCCGGTACCAGTGATTTACGTTCGAGCCGCGCTACTTGGCGCTCTGCCCGCTGAGAACTCGCTCATACACTTACTTTATAACAGAAAAATTACTTGCGACGCGGAAACGAAATATGCCCGCTTTGGGGTTCACTCTTATTATTACTTTATACTATCGATTGATATACTGCCAGTTAGTAGTACATGACCAGGTCTTTGTTCAGTTTATCATTAAATTTATTCAATAAACTCTACCATGAGCCCACATAATGCAGGCACACTCGGGTTTTTAATTAAAAATGTTAAGCAACAAGTAAATTGGTTCTAAAAAGTTAATATAAGCGAACTAATCTGTGAGCGATAATGGAAGGTTGATTATCTCACGTTCTTATAATGGCGTTACTATCAAATGGAGCCGCGGGGCGCGGGCGGGGTTTAAACGATCATAACGAACCGGCATTATATTGATAATTATCATTTACGGTACAGAAATAAAACATAGACTTATCAGCTGTGACTAAAATATGTACGATTGTGTTGAATCACTCATTACTACAAAAATATCTATGAATAATAATTGCTCGCTTGTTTTAAAGTTGTAAACTACATGTATTTGACTTGCCAGTATTTTAATGAACATAACATACAAAGAATGACATTCTCAACATTTTTCATGACGCAATATGTTGAAATTTAAACATCATGTTGTTTTTTAAATCCTTGCCCAATAGATAAAAAATCTTTAACTCATTAACCTATAAAGAAGGGAAAGATATTTTCTACCTGTTTTCAAATAGTCGCAATACAAAAAACAGGTTACATAGAAAACAAAGGAAGTACGTTCAGAACATACTGAATCATAAATTTTTAAATTAACTTATAACTTTAAATTTATTTATAAATAACTGTGAAAAGGAAATAAGTAATTTAAACTAAAAATATAGACATAAATACTGATGTTAAAATAAACAAATAAAATATTCAGAGGTTTCAAATATTCAATGTTAAGAAAAAAGAATTATGTTTTAATATATTACTCATAGTAATATGATAGGATTTATATCGCGGTTAGTGTGAATGTCAACATATGGACAGTTGCAAATTCCTTGAGATATTCATTCACAGTTCATTAAATTCATATAGAATCATTGAGACTGTAGGTGATTATGTTAACAGTGAACCCATACTAAACATGTCAAAAGTAATACAAAGTCCAAGGAGAGTAGAGTAATTTATTATGTATTTTTTATACCCTTCCACGTAAGCTTTGTGCTAAATGTGAGTTTCTTATGTAAGGTGTCTAATGTCCCCTTCTCCGCATTAATCATTCATGAGTGGGAATAAGATGAGGGGTCAGGACAAAACTCTTCAAAGGTTATGTTTCCCTTTTAAAATATAAGTCGACACCGATTATAATCTTTATTCATACAAACTTTTTTCATCTCTTACTGCCAATTATTAAAGTAAAAATAAATATTTTTTACATACAAAGTTTGCTTTAAACGTAAGGGGAATTTCAATTATTTCCAATATAAATAAAAAATAATATTAATTTTAGCAACGGTAAATGGCATTACCAGGAACTCATGGACCGTCAGGAGGTGTTTTTGACGCATTCCATTACATGTAATGAATAACAAGACGAGAGTTGTAAAACTTTACAACGATCATCGAGCCACGCTTTCTATTTACATGTTGACATTAGTCACAAGTGTGTTTGTTAGAAATGTTTCCATTTAACTGGTAATGCTTGTGTTGAGAAGTCTATAAAAACAATATTCACAATGTGCCCGCGGACCGGTTTAGCAGTTTATAAAGACTTGATAAATTATTGGACATTAACATAATTGGCTTCGGGTATAAATATAAAAAAAAGGTTTAAAAACGAATACGCCGTATATAGAAACGACGTGACGTTAAGTAAGCATGAATTTATAAATATTCCGAGAGATA